TATCATCCCTGTTTACAGATGAGCAAACTGAGGCACCAAGGCACACATTCTTTAGCCCAAGTTAATCTGACGGGTAAAGAACAGATCTGAAATTCAAGCCCACGCAGACCGGTGCGAGAGTCCCGGAGCCAGCATTGTGGTGGGGGTATGTTTCCCTCCCCCAGTGGGGATCCACTTTCACTCCTGTAGCTCTTCTCCTTGTATGTTCTCAAACTTACTGCATAAAGTCCTTTTGATGCCTGGGTTCCTTGAAGTGGACACAGTGAGAGCCCTGTTCCCCATTCCCCACCCTGCGCCCCAGGCTCTGGGCCTCAGCTCAGAGCGCCAAGCAGTGCTGTGGCTGCCAAATTGGGCCTGGGCCTCCCAGGTGAGCAGGGCCGCGCTTGGGACAGCCAGCCCCACAGTGGAGGCGCACACTCTGTCTGGGAGACAGGTCCTGTAACCAGCCACAGAGGCACACGCAGAAACGCCTGTGAAGGCCCACACTGGCAGAGATGGAGAAGGTGACTCCCACCTGGACCTAAGTCCCTGGTCACAAACTGGGAAAAGGGAGACAGCCATACCCAGGCAGAGCCACCTTCTGACGGAGGGGCTGCCCTCTACAGTCAGTGCGGGTCCCGAGTCCCAGCACTCACAGCGGCTGACTCCCTCCCTGACTGTTCGATGCTGGGCAAAGCGTGGGGTACTTAGAGAACCGGCTCCGACAGCAAAAAGGAGAAAAGAAGATGGCTGGGCTCATGCAGAGGCCTCAAATGGAGGGACATTCTCTTTCTCCAGTGGTGCAGATGCCCGCCTTTGGAAGCCAGCAGGAGGCAGATGAGGCCGGCTGGGGCTCCAGACCCCAAACAGCGGCTGTGTGCGTGTGCGTGTGTGTGGAGGTGTCTGTGGGGAGCCCTGGGGATCAGCAGCAGCTCCGCAAACCTGGGGCCCAGCTGGTAATCCGCCCTCTGCAGGGGCCAGCCAGGCCCCAGCCTCAGAGGGCTGTTGGCAGAGGCTGCCTCTGCAGATCTCTGGCTTTATCTTCCTCACACATTGAAACCATCAGGTCAGTCCTGACTGCAGCCTGCCCGGCTCTGTCTGCTGGAGACACTGTGCTTTCATCCAAACCAGGCCTTCCCTCCTCCGGGTCCCCACTCGGGGGAAGGGGGGCCTCGAGCATGGCCTCACTTCTGCTCCCCGGGAGCCAGTTTCAGAACTTTGTACCTTTGTACCCTATTTTGCTCTCCTCTCTGACATGTTTATGAGGCCACTTTCCACTCTGGGACCCCAGCTCCACCCTCATACCCCAAAGGGAATTTTAGTCCGTGCTGCAGAAAGCAGAGAATTCTGGGGGCCCCCGAGTCCCGAGCTGCTCCATCAAAGCAGTGAGCACTCTTCAATGCCTCGTGTTCTGGGGAAGCCAAATCAAAGGCAAAGCCTGAATTCCTCTTGCTCACGGCCAATAAAAACCTTGCTTCAGTGCCGGCTTCCTCTGCTGAAATCAGATATCCTAGTAATAAACAAGTCCGAAAGGCAGGGAAAAGCTCTTGCTTCTTTCTTCTGATTAGTTTTTATTCCTTTTAAAAAAGTTCTCTCTTAAAACAGGATGCCTGCCCCAGAAACTTGAGCACAGAACTGCGCCCTCTCCTTCCCTGCACCCCCCACTCCTGAGTCCTCACCCCCTGGGCGCCTGCAGGAGAGGGTGGGGCCTGGCTTCCCAACACCCACTAGACGACTGAGCTCAGAGGCAGGTCAAAGGGGCTTGGGGAGAATGGGCCTCCGCTGCCTGGGGAGCCAGCTGCCTGCTGACAGGGGTAGCTGGGCTCTGTGGCGGCTGGCGGCGGGCAGAAATGGGAAAGGGAAGGTAGAATAAGCTGGGACCACTTTTTAACTCTAGCAAGCCTTCTGGATCCCCTCAATGCACCGTGGGGCTATAAGAAGCCCAGTCCCGTGGATTTATGTGTTGAGTGTACATCTGAGAAAGCCACACAAGGTGGACCTCGAGGCATCAGAGGGGCTGAAAGGGCAGAGGCCTGGGAGCTGGGCTTCCTGGGGCTGGCCTCGCCTTGCATGCAGCCCTCTCGGGGGCGCCCCTCCCCAGCCTGTCCTTGTCCCTTCCCGGGGCAAACGTGTCTCCGCATGTGGAGGGGTGCCCTCCCCTGCATGCTGTCATGTCTCCCTGCAACCCCTCCCTCCCAAACAGGCTTTTAAGTGACTTTGCTGTCAGAGATGCTATTCTCTTTGTTTTTCCTTCTGACACTATCTCTCTGGAGAGTTTCTGGTCAAGAGAATTATATCGAGGCTGCAGATTGCAAGAGAATTGCGCCTAATGGGGAACAGACAGACAAGACACCTTTCATGTCCAGCCAAGATTTCCCCCCTCCCTTTCTCTCTCCCAACATCTCATCTTCCCTTTTTGGCTTCAAAGTTGGACCAAGTTTGTGCTAGTTTCTTCGGTACAGCTGGTGAATAAGGTCACACATTGATTTTATTTTGGAGATTGGCAGCTGGGTCAAGCTTAGCTCTGAGGCTGGAGAGCAGCGCAGCTCGCTCCCTCCGCTGGAGCACATGCCATGGGGGGGGCACAGCCAGTGGGGGAGGCCCATTTAGAAGGCACTCCGGCACCCCAAGGGTGGTTTTCACTCCTTAGTGATCTCAAAGCTCAAGAGCTTGAGCTTGTACAATTTATTTTCAATATAAGAAGGGTGCCCAAAGTGTCCTCTCAGACCCCACATTGGGCCATTTCAGCTTATGTGTGCTGGACTTTATAGGAAAAAAGTGTTCGTTCTGAGGTCCCTTGGGACCTTGAAGTGATTATGGGAGAGGTTCTTAAGGTTAAAGGCCTCTACCTTGTAAATAGCCTCTCAACCACACATAGCCGTCCATGCAAACTGGATGGGAAAGAAAGCTCTTTTCTTTACCTATGCGCTTCCTGAGGGGAGAGGGCAGCTTAGCGAAACATCTTGGTGGATGGTTTGGATTCTTTTGCCTTTAGTACGAGGCTGATGTAATAGCAGTCAACTGATTTCATGCTAAAGACAGCCACAGTTTCCAGAGCGAATCATTTCCAATTGCGCCATAACGACATCCACCCTTATCGCAGCCCTTCAGGAACTGGTGGGCGGGTCCTTCCTCCTTCGGAGCCTTGGTAGGAAGCACCGGGCCACATTTTTTTTTTTCTGGAAGGGCAAAGATGTCTTGGATTTTAAGAATGTCCCATTGGCCCTGGCTGGTTGAGTGGCTCAGTGATTGAGTTCCTGCCTTTGAATCGAAAGGTCACCGGTTCGATTCCCAGTCTAGGGCACATGCCTGGGTTGCAGGCCAGGTCCCCAGTAAGCAGCCTGTGACGGGCAGCCACACATTGATGTTTCTCTCCCTCTCCTAAAAAATAAATAAATAAAATCTTTAAAAAAAGTATGTACTGTTGGACGCCATTCCTCCTTGTCTAGCCTCGGAGGACAGAACTTACCGCCAGTCTACCTCTGGGGGATGAAGGGCATGCACTCGGAGCCTTGCAGCCTGTGGGACAGTTTGAACATGGGGGAGGAAGGTGGGTGTTAGGGGAAATGGGTGACAGGAGGGGAAGGCTGACCCCACCCAGGCTGGGTTCGATTCTCTCCTTCTTTCTCATGCCCACTGCTTGTAGTTTTGGAGTTTGTTCTGCATTAGGATGTGTCGGTTTTCAACCATTACAATAGACTAAAAACATACATTTCTTTTATGTTAGTAAGTTTCTTGTAAATTAAGCCTGTAAAATAAGAATATGCCACTTACCAATTGTTAAAGCAAAGCCTGAGGCAACAGAAGATGCCAGTGTGGTGTGGTGGCCAAGCTCTGGACCAGGAATTAAGAGTCTTGAATGTATTTCTTGCCCTGTCCCCAACCAGCTCTGACCTCAGACAAGTGCCCAATCCACAAAGGGGTACTGGCAAATAGCCTGCATTCCCCTACTGAATGCCATGGGGGGAAATGAGAGAATGTACGGGACAGTGCTTTACGTGCCATGAATGTTTTAAGAAGCGGGGAGCACAATTCGGGTATTGAGAGGCTGCTTTGTTAAGAGATGCAGCAGTCAGAATCCATGACGCATTTCCTGAGGACAAGGCCTCGATGGATCGTCGGGAGCCTCAGGGCGTGCAAACCTGAGGCCCCCACCAGGCACACAAGGGTCCAGGCTGCTGACAGCTCTCTCAAGCCAGAGGCTGCTGGGCTGTCTGGGTGGGTCTGACCCAGGGCAGCATGCTGTCGTCACTCAGGAAACGGCTGAGGATGCCGCCACTGCTTTGATGAAGACCTAGAAGTTTTCAGACCTGCTGCTCATCAGGTGGAATAAAAAAACCTGTCACAACTTTGCTCAGTGTTCTCTTTGCCCAAGCCCTGGCCTGTAGTGGGTGCTCTGGAGAGACATAGTCTGGTTGACTGTCCTTACTGGGGTTTGATCCAGCCTCCCGTGGCTCACCTCCTTTGCTGTTCTCCAAGTCTGGGCACAAGCTGGAGAGAGTGTTACTGCTCAGACCATTTCACCTCTTCCGAAGCGCTCCACAGCCACCATCGGGACCCTCCGCTGAGCCAGCGAAGGAGTGTATCTGAAGGAACCCAGTGGCTCTGCAGGAGGCAGCCCTATTGCTTGGGAAAATCCTGTCCTCTCTGAGCTCCTTGTCTGCCCGGTAAAGAGGGGAGAGGAAGGGTGAGTCCCTTGCAAGGTAATTTGCTGACGGTGGAGCCTGTGCTTGCTCCGCAGGCTAGCCAATGTCGCCATCTAGAGGCAGTTTAAAAGTATCTTGCAGCAAGAGGTAGGCAACTTCTATTTTTGTTAATTCCTGAAATGCCAACATTTCATTTTCTTGCCCTTGCAAGTTCAGAATCCCTCTCTCATCCGCAGTGTGGCTTTGGCGGCATCTGTGACCCAAGGGAAGCCCTCCCCCCACAGAGCCGCCTGGTGCGAGGCCAGCGACAGGCACAGCTGCATCCTGCCGGTCCCAAGGCCCCGCTCCTGTCACACTCACTCACTACACCAGATCTTAGAAAATAAATCTTTTAATTGCTTTGTAATCGGCACAGATGGCATAATCCAAACTCACATTTTTATTTAATAGATTCTGAAGTATCACACTCTAGCTCTGACTGAAAGAGTACAGGGATCATACCGGTTAAAATTTTACAAAATTACATTCAGCAGCAGCATCCTATCTGAAAGTTATCTCATAAAATTAGAGTGGGGCTTGAATAAATAAGAAAAAGCCATCTAGGTTATAAACCACCCAGCCCAAGGTATCCTGCTGCTCTATTAACAAACAAGAGGAGCCGCGGCTCTGGCTTACAAACACATGTGTGTGTGTGTGTGTGGGGTGGGGGTGGGCCGCAGGAGGCCTGCACAGTGCCCCCCGGGGAACAGGAACCTCCGAGTCAGGCCTGGTTGAAGCTGTGAACCTGAACTGGCTTTGAAGGGACCTTTCACGTCTGGGGAGCTATGAGATTCACTGGGCTTTGATAAGAAATCACCGTAAGAGAACCACATCATTAACTCCTCATTACTGTAGGGCCCAGGGGGAAAAGCTCAAAGCCCTGTCTCTTCGGGAGGATGTTGGAAAGGCCCAAGTCCCATGTGTATGACCCCTACAATTTTCAGGGCAAACAACACAGGGTGGTCAATGACAAATTCTCATTAACCATCATTTGGGTTTGGGGCATTAACTGGAACCATTTCCTGAAGTTACCTGTACATTCCAGAGTAGAGAGAAATATTTACTGAGTGGGGGGGGGTGGGGGGGGCAGCAAAACCACCTTGTTCCAGAGCAGCAAATGTGACTACTCAGCAGGACTTTGCATGAAGTTGGTAATCACAGGGAATTTTCTGTACAGTGAATGACAGATGGGAATTCCTCTGACTTTGGTGATTACAGGCATCTGTGACCTAATTTTAACCTGGGGAAGGCATTCATGGGTTGGTCGGTGCTCCTGGACAGGAGTCAATACTGAACTCAATTCCTGGCTATGGATTTGGTATTTGTTCTGCAGAAATGTTGGGATTTCTCAGATTCAATACAAAGCCACAACTTAAAGCGAGCCTCCTTTGCCAGACACTGAATACAGATGGTTTCCATTGATACACACAATCCTCCGCATGCTCTCACCAGGTCACAAGGAGCATGGTTGTGCTAAAACCTGGGGAACATCAATGTGAAAGCCAGGTGAGTGCACAGTCAGTCTTCCTGGACCGGGCCCGTGGGCGGTGAGCCGCTGCTGGCTGTTCCTGGGCTCAGTGCGCCTGTGTCACCTCCACGGCGGCTTTCAGGTCTGCTGCGGACTTGTCCAGGGCAGGTTTCTTTGAGTAATCTCGCTCTCCGAAAATGGTGCTTCCTATGCGGACATTTGTAGATCCAACTTCGATCTGTGGGAAAGAAGAGCGAGTGCGGAGGGCTGAGTGTGGACTAATGGACGGCAGCCGGAGCTGAAGCTGTGCCTCCCATTCTGGCTCTCGAGGGGCCTCTAGGGGCGGACGGTGATGCCGCTGAGGACGACGGCGGGGCAGGGGCTCTCCTTGGGGGCGATATGACCTCGGAGGGGTGTTTTAGAAATAAGTGAGGATTTCTTTGGCTTTCACAGGTATACCAGATGTCCCAGCATGCGTATCTGTGTGTGTGTGTGTGAGAGAGAGAGAGAGAGAGAGACACACACACACACAGCAGCACACACGCTCTCTCATGTTCCCTGGTCAGGTAGATGAAAAAGCCTTATCATTGTCTCTGTACAGAATCTAATTCTATTTTACTTAAAAACACAAAGTATTTTTGCACTGTTTTAATCTGCACAATTTTCCAGCAATGCAACTACTGTCTACACAGAGGGAAGTTTATTCTTTGATTTCTGCAACTTCGTTACTGTTCCAGAAAATCATGTATTTCAGTTGACAATACAGCACATCTGTACCAAAACCGTTGTTATAGCCATTGCATTCACAGTGGATCTACACATAAGATTAAGCCTCAGACTTCATCACGACTTACTGTCAAATATCTATGTGCAAGCGTTTACATAGCAAAATGTCTTTAAAAATTATAGTTTAATTTCTTCTTATTTTCCTTTAGATTCCACTTAGGGAATTATGTTAAAAAATTAAATTGTGTGTTAGGCTATAAGTTCTATACATTTCATTTCAAAAAGAAGGGGATGATAACATATACTTACACACACACACACACACACACACGCACACGCATATAAATAAATAAAGAAGGGGGTGGGGGATATTAGAATAGTTGAGAACCACTGCTAGTGGATGCCCTATTGCTACAATGAAGCATTTCAAAGGTCAGGGTTCTGTCAAACCAGAACCTGGTTTGCTGTGGCCTTTGGGGCCCTGCCGTCACACAGCACCCAGAAGGACACTTACTGCATGCTGGAAGTCCATGGACATGCCCATGCTCAGCTCAACCCGCTCAGTAGGAATGTTCAGCTTCTTGCACAGCTCCTCTCGGAGGGACGATAACATCTGACAGAAAGACAAGCGTGACGCCTTTTTTATACCTGCCTCTCTACAGACGCCTGGGAGTGGCGAATCTGAACACCTCTGACAAAGGTTATTTATCGCTAATGGTTTCAAGGTCTGTCAAAATTGCCAGTAGTTACTGAAAGTTTTTTTTCTTTCTTCAAATTCGCCTACTTTCAGAAAGAAGACTCTCAGTCCCTGGAGAAGAAGAAGGAGCTTGTTTTCTCTAAAGAGTGTGTTGGAGTCAGGTTCAAACTGAGCTGAGAAAGCTCTGCAGGGTTTTGGAGACCTGTTCTCTCTTCCCCATGGAAAGAGCTCAGAAGAGGGCTATAACCCCTGACAGACCGCCTCTGGGAGTCTTCGAAGTCTACGCTAGCAGCCAGCCCTGTGGCAGCACTGTGCTAAGATGCTCCTTTAGCTCGTCAGCAATCCCCACCCCCTGCCCCCCCCCGCCCCCCCGTACCTGGAAGTCCGGATTCGGTCCTTGACTAAGATCATGCCCAAAACTCCCTATGGTCATCAGCCCCACAAATTCCAGGCTGGGGCACTTGGCGTTTATGTGTTCCACCACGGCTACTGTCTCTGACGGTGGAATGCCATGTTTACCTTCAACACAAACACAAAACAAAAATTAAAAAAAAAAATTGAGGACCCTTATACCAAAATGTTTTAAGTAGCCAGACATAGGGCCTATTTTCACCCCTCCTTTGCAATAGAGGAGTGATCCTCAGACAAGAAGGTCCCTTGTTCTCAAGTCCAAAGCAGTAACTGTATGTTTGAGGTCTACATGTAGTTCCCCTTCTGGTCAGGTTCTGAATTTCTCAAGAGAAGAGCTATACATTGAACTCTCTTGATTCTGTCTCAATATCTGAGCTGAGAACAGCTAGAGTACTAGGAAAAGAAGAAAACATTGCTTTTCTTGGGATACCAAGAAGATTCATGTTGCCAAAATGCCAGATTGACCTCAGAGCTTTTCCCCCCAAACCTGGTATTTCTATAGTTTTAATAATTTATAGTTTTACAGTAAAACTGTAAAACTATAAAATAAAGTATATATCACACAGTTCTGACTATGTATTTGGTAAACTGAACTTGCTAATTAACCACTAGAGGAGGAATCTTGAGCAACTGATCGTTTGTTATGCAGTTGTAAGGATTATTGATACTGTCTTTCTCTCATTTATCACATGTAGATGCTAAGAACACTTATTTCAATAATTAATTAGGGAAGATTATAGCTAATTATCAAGAAATGATGTAATAGACTTGATCTGGAGTCTGTTTCAGATTTACAATAATTGTTAAAACTTACTGAGCACTTACTTATGTGCCAGGCATAAGTGGCGAATCCTAAGTGTTTTTCTTGTAATACAGTAACTCTGCTGAGTCACTATTCTTACTCTCTCTATTCTAGACACGAAACACAGGGAAGCTCAGTACCATTTCCAAGGTCACACAAATAGAAGCTGTGGACCTAGATTTGAACCCAGGTAGCCTGACTCCAGTGCCTATTTGGAAAACAGATGCCTATACTGAGCTCCTTCATGCTCAGATTTGGTGAATGCTGGTGCTCTGATGGCTGGAAGCAAGTGACTGATCTGTGGACAAACTGCTAACAAGTAAGACGTGCGAGGTTCTATGCCAGTGGCTTCACCTGTGTGAGCACAGTCAGTCCTCACAACAGTGATATCACATCATCACTGTGTGGCAAGGAGCCTGAGGTACAGGGGGAGCAGGTGATTCATGCGAGACTACGGAGCTGGGAAGTGGTGGAGCTCAAGCCTGAGGCGTGTCTGACTTCGAAGCCCGAGCTCTGCTCACCGTGTTACACCATTAGCCCTGTAATGACACCCACTGCCTGATGCTCACACTGCTTTTCCTTCCAGTTTCTCCCAGTGGGACACTAAGCAATTTATTTTTTAGGGCCCAAGAAGTGTAACTTCTCATGTAATTTTGCAACTTCTTTCAGGAGTGATGGTGACTTCTGGGAATTTTCAGGAGATCAAAATCACAATCCTCTTCTTGCTTCTCCGTCTGCCTCCTCAAAATTAAGAAATAACAAATCATGACGTATTAAAGAATCCCACGTGGGCTGGCGTGAATGTCGTTGTGCCACCTAGATCCTACATAACACGGCTTACTTAACAGTCTGTGATTTCTTTCTGTAACCTTAGCTATCAGGTAGAGTAGGCCAGCCATTCTTCCTGGGCTTCCAGCACCCTAGGGGGAGGAAAAATCTACAATACAGCTCTGGTCACTTACTCTCTTCTCCACTGGTGTTAATCTGGACCATAACCTTTAACCTTTCAGGAGAACCTTTTTTCTGCCACGAACTGTTTACTTTGTCTGCCAGCTTCACAGAATCCAGTGTTTCCAGCATGAAGAGATTGGGGACAGCTGAAATGAGAAAGAAGCAAGGAAATTCTTCATGTATCTCACTGCAGCAAGCAACAGCTTTTGGTGGACAGAAAAATAATTTCCCAGAAGAGAAAAAGACAGTTAAGTCTCAGTTCTGCTAAGAAGACTTATGTGGAAGTTTTATTAGACGTAAGTTCAAATGCTAGACCATCACTGTCTAATCGGCAAACATGAACAAGGAGAGGAAAATGCTGACACGGCACAATCCCGCAGCATTTGTATCCACACAGTCCAAGGGGCTGACAGTCGCAGAGCTCAACCCCACTTCCAACAGAGAGAAACAGTTCAAGAGGACGATACAGAAAGAATAACCAGTGGAAGCCGAAGGGCTTCTCTGGCATGACATCACCATGTTCTTGAACTTTCTAGGATGGGGGCACTAGAAATGATGCCATCCAGATGGTGAAAAGACAACCCATGGAGTGGGACAAAATATTTGCTAGTCATTTATGATAGGTCTGGTATCCAGAATACATAAAGAACTTTTATTATTCAATAAAAAGATAAATAACCCAGTTAAAAAATGAGCAAAGGATTTGAGTAGACATTTCTCCAAAGAAGATATATGAATGGCCAACGAGCACACAAAACGGTGCTTCACCCCATTAGGACCTAGAGAAATGCACACAAAAACCACGAGATACCATTTGACATTTTTTAAAACCCCATTTTATCTCCTTGGCTGGCTTATTACTCTAACTGTTTATTGTGTTATTTTATTGGTTTCCTTAGGTTAAACTTATCACAGTCTACCTTTAATGGTGTTATACCACTTCACATAAAGTCTAAGAACCTTATAATAGTGTACTTCTGTTTTTTCCTTCCCATTCTTTAAGCTATTGTTGTAATGTATGTTGCTTTTACATGTTATAAACCCCATGATACATCATTATTTTTGCTTATATAACATTATAATAAAACAATAGAGAAAAATAAAATCAATCTTTGAGAAGACTGATAAACCTCTAGCCAGAGAGACTAGGAAAAAAGAGAAGGCAGAAATTATTAATATCAGGAATGAGAGAGTTGACATTACTACAGACTCTTCAGATATTAAAAAAGATAATAAAGGAATTACAAACAACCTTATGCCCCTAAATTCATTAATTTAGATGAAATGGGCAGATTTCTTGAAAGACACAAAGTACCAAAGGTAATCCAAGAAGAAACAGATTTTGTGAACAGCCCTATCTATTAGTAAAATTGAAATTATATTTAAAAACCTTCTCACCAAGTAACCTCCATTCTTCAGTGGTAAATTCTACTAAATGGTTAAGGAAGAGATAATAGTAATTCCACACACTAACTCTTCCAGAAGACTGAAGAAGGGAATACTTCCCAATTCACTCTATGAGGTCTGCATTACTTTGACATGAAACCCAAATAAAGATACTTCAAGAAAAGGAAACTAGAGACCAATGTCCCCTGGGAATATAGATGCAAAAATTCCAAACACCATCTGACAAATCAAATGAAACATTATACTAAAAAGTTAGTACTTTTTTTTTAAAGGATTTTATTTATTTTTATTTTTAGAGAAGGAAGGGAGGGAGAAAGAGAGAGAGAAACATCAATGTGTGGTTGCTGGGGGCCGTGGCCTGCAACCCAGGCATGTGCCCTGGCTGGGAATCGAACCTACGACACTTTAGTTCGCAGTCTGCACTCAATCCACTGAGCTATGCCAGCCAAGGCAAAAAAAAAAAAAGATAGTACTTTATGACCAAGTGAAGTTCATCCCCAGGAATGCACGGTTGATTTAACATTTGAAAGTCAATAAATGTAATTCAACATGTTAATAAACTAAAAAAGAAAAATGGTATGATCATATTTAGAGTTTTATCTTACCCATCAGTTTGTTGACATTTTGTTTCTGTAAGTGGCCAATGAAGTGCCATTTAATCTCAGGACACGAAGACAGAACCTGAAAAGAAAAAGGTGACTATGTTTGACTTAGATTTTTTTTCTTTTATTCTCACCCAAGGACACTTTTCCACTGCTTGTAGAGCGAGGGGGGCGGCGGGAGAGAGGGAAAGAAACATGAGTTGGTTGCCTTCTCATATGTGCCTCAACGGGGGATGGCACCCACAGCCTGGGTATGTGCCCCGAGCAGGAATTGCACCAGTAACCTTTTGGTGTATGGGACGACATTCAACCAACAGAGCCACGCCAGCCAGGGCTTGGCTTAGATTTTTATGGAGGTCTAGCTGGCTCAGATACTTTGCATACTCTCTCTTCTGACCTTTCATGTCTACACAATGAAGCACTACCACCATCTTCAGCCAGGCTCCTAAGGATACTTAGAAAAACATTTAAGGCTTCTGTTCTGTTTCTCTTCCTTGTTCCCATCAATCCCCTCCATCTTTCAGATATCACCCATTAAGAATCAGCTGACTAAAGCTTTCAAATCTCAGAAGGATCCTAGATTACAGCAAGCTCCTAAAAATCACCATTTTCAAAAAAACTGCAGAGGAGAAAACTATAATCTTTTTTTTTTTTAAAGATTTTATTAATTTATTTTTAGAGAGGGGAGGGAGGGGGAGAGAGAGAGAGAGAGAGAGAGAGAGAGAGAGAGAGAGAGAGAGAGAGGGAGAGGGAGAGAGTGAGAGAGAGAGAGAGAGAAACATCAATGTGCGGTTGCTGGGGATTATGGCCTGCAACCCAGGAATGTACCCTGGCTGGGAATCGAACCTGGGACACTTTGGTTCCCAGCCCGTGCTCAATCCACTGAGCTACACCAGCCAGGGCTAGAAAACTATAATCTTAATAAAGAAAGAAAACCTAACTGAGAAATATTGGGGGTCAAGGTAAATGTAGACATTTCTGCTGCCAATCCAACCTCCTGGTGTAAAACTCAACCACCAACATGGGTCTAATTTTCAAATGAAATGTTGAGATTTAAATACAAACTCAAGAATTGAGATATCTACTTACTTTAGGATTTGATGCTTTTTCTAGCAGTTCTTGAACCTACAGGGTTAAAAGAAAGACAAGTCAGCAGTTTGGCCAACATGACTCTTCCAAAGGAGGTTTGGGAAAGGGGTCTTACATAGTTCTCCCCAAAAGTGCGCTGGCCGTGACTGTAGGCCTCAACCACCATGTCCGCAGGCTTGGTTTTGCTGACGGCTACCAGCCGGGGCTGGATGTCTGGGAGATTCTGCCGAGAGAGAGCCAGATGAGTAAATGTTTGGGCACATTTTCCTGATAAACCCTGTAAGATAGATCCTGTACAAAAGATCAGCATAGATCTTAACTTGGTATTTGGTAAGCTCCATTTTTCCAGTACTGCAGGAATATCAGTGCCAAATAATGTTGACAAGTATGTGTTTCAAATGTACTGCATTTAGCCCAGGCTGGTGTGGCTCAGTAGATTGAGCTCCGGCCTGCAAACTAAAGGGTTGCTGGTTCGATTCCCAGTCAGGGAACATGCTTGGGTTGAAGGCCAGGTCCCCAGTAGGGGGTGCAAGAGGCAACCACACATTGATCTTTCTCTCCCTCTCTTTCTCCCTCCCTTTCCCCTCTCTAAATAAATAAAATCTTAAAAATACCCAAATGCATTGCATTTAAATGTAATATGTTACCTACTTTAATATCTAGCAAAAGATAGTTCTTGGGAAAGCTGGGCAGGTAAGTAAAAGCAGTATATTTCCTTAAAATGCAGTCTTTGACCAACTGTGTTGGCATCAGCTGGGTCTCACTCCAGACCTACTAAATCTGAATCTCTGGGGCTGGACTCTGAGAATCTCCTTTTAAATAAACTCTCTAGGTGATTCTCTTGCACACCAGGGTAGGAGGTTTAAGGATCACTTCATTACAGGAAGGCACCACTCTCTGACCAGAAGGCAGGCTGGTTCTGGCTTCTGAAACCCCCAGGTTAACTGTTTTAGAAGCTCATTCTGGTCCTGGTATAATTGTTAGCATTGACCCCATTCACATTCAAAAGCAACCTGCTTAATTATATAATCTATTGTTCAATCTAATGAAGGACCAGTGGCAGACCTGACGGAGGGACACAAAAAACCCTCTGGACTCTGGATTAGATCTATCCAACCCCTCTCAAGGCCAGTACATGAAGAGCAAGGCTTCCCCAAATTCTACTGCAACAAAATCCACACAGGTGCAGTAAGAGAAGAGATTCACCTCTCCTTACAGAGTTCAGTTTTCATGTACGCCATCACCCTTTTGCAATTTTTACAGAGTCATAGTATCCTCAAAGGGCCTGAAGAATCAGGTCAATTACAAAGAATTTCCTCGTCTTTCCAAGGGCTATATTAATAGCCTTTTATAACATCATGTCATAACTCCTGGGATTATGATGATGGATCAATGGTATCCAGACAGAAATGTAGGACAGGCAGATTTGCTGGGACAATCTCCAAGCATGATGTTTATTAGGGAAATCCCTAGTTTATCTTGGAGAATCACTGAGAATCATAGAACATTAACTCCAGGAGTGAGCTCAGAGCAATCAGAGTTCATTCCCTTTCCTATGCAGATAAGGAAATTCGGGGCCAAAGTAGTTAAGTGACTTGTTCAATGTAATATCTAACTAGTAGCCAAGGAAAGGCTATACTAGTACAGGTTTCTGTCTGCAGGCCAACATTCTTTGTGTGTGTGTGTACGTTTTATTTTTATTTTTCAATTACAGTTTACTTTCAATATTTTTTTGCATTGGTTTAAATTGTACAACACAGTGATTAGACAATCACATGCTTTAAATGTGTTCCCCTGACACTTCCAGTACCTACCCTGCACCTTACATAGTTAGTGAAATAGTATTGACTATTCCCTATGCTGTACTTTACATGCCTGTGACTATTTTGTAACTGACAATTTGTACTTCTTTCACCCATTCCCCCAACATCCCTCCCCTCTGGCAACCACCACTCCTCTCTGTGTCTATGAGTTCCAGGCCAGCATTCTGAGTCTGACACCGTAAGTATAGATGAGAAACCTTTGACCTCTCTGTTGAGGTATGTCTAACTCCATACCATCCAGCTTAAACTTGCACCAAGGGAAGCAGATACTGACTGGCCCTTGGTCTAATGAAATTCCAGGAGGAGACAGCAATAAGGGGTGGGTGGGTTGGGGGGGGAGTCTTCTCATAAGGGGATTAGATGTCAGCTCCCCTGTGCTGGAAACGCGAAAGTATAGCTCGGTGTCTCTGATCAATACTATCTGCTTCGCCTACACGTGGAACTGACATTTACCGAGCATCTACTAGGTGTCAGACGCAGCCACACACGTGATATCAGGCGGATCTGGCCCCCTTTGCCACGCTCTAGTAGGAGACGTCTTCTCTTGCCGCTGCTGGGCACAGGCCTGGCCCTTCTCCCGTCCCCTAAGGCTGTTGACGCCTACACGAAGCGGGATGAGCAAAGGCTGCGATTTACGCCCGGAGATTGGTCATTTTTCCGGAGTAGCGGATACCTTCCGTTCCAGCCTAGCCAACCTCCAGGAAACCTGACAGACTCATCTCGAGGTCACCGAGGAAGCCCTACCCTAGCTTTTTGGGGCTCTGCGACCCGTGCCAACGCCGAGGCGGCGGACAGGTCCCGCCCCTCCGGGAGAGCCCTCTGCGTCACCGTGACGACCCATTCTCACGCAGGTGTCCCCCTCCTCACAGCGGCCGCCCACTGTCTCCACGCGGTCCCCTTTCTCACCCGCGGCCGCCGCGCCACCGCCTGCTGCACGCGCTCGTTCACTGTCCGCAGAGCAAATGCGACTCCCAGTTCCGCCGACATGCCGCCAGCTCTCCACATCCCCTAGGGATCAACGTCTAGACCCAGACCGGGGTACCCCGCGGTTGAGACGGCTTTCCGGTCCCGTCCAACTTACGTCTCGGTAGGACTCCAATCAGCGCTCACCACCAAATCGTCTCGCCCAATCGAAACCTGGCATTGCGGGGGCGGGGCGGGGGCGGTGTAGTGGAGGCCCCGCCCCTTGACGACGGCCATCTTGGGGAGGTCGCGGTGGACTGGCTGGCGGCGCTCAGGCCGCCGGGCGACCTGCGCGAGGTGGCGGGGCGGGGCGGGGCGGGGCGGGGCGGGGAGGGGGTATTCTTGTGCCGACCGGAGAGCCTTCAAGGTTGTGTCACCTGATTCGCTGCTGCCCCCGCCCCAGCGGGACCTTCCTGAAGCAAAAAACGTGGCTTGCTCCTGCTGTCCTATTTCCTTTCAAAATGCCTCCGAAATTTTTAGTCCCCGGCGTTCAAAGAGCTGTGAGCCAAGATTTCTGTGCGCAGGGACCAGGATTAAAAGCTGCTGAGCGGAGGACATCCCTTTTAGAACCTCAGTCTAGTGAGGAACCGCTAAGAGATATAAAAGACACGGCATGACTCAGTGTATAGTTTCATCTTGTCAATCTTTAGACTAGTGCTGTCCAATAGAAATAGGTGATTCACATATGTAATTAAACAATTTCGAATAGGCACATAAAAAGTAAAAACGTAATGATACATTTTATTTAACCCAATATATCCAGAGTAAGCTTTCAACATATAACCCATGGAAAAACTTCAAACAAGATGTTTTCTTTATATCGTACTCAGTTTCCAAAATCAGGGGTAGTTTTGACCCATAGCCTGTCTCAGGTCGAGCTCTCCATACTTCAAGCGGCCAGAAGTCACCTGTGGCTAGCGCTGCCTTGTGGGCCTGCACAGGTGGGCTAGCGAGAGCTCAGCGCACCTTCAGTCCAGCTCTTGAGTCTCATGTGCCTACCTCTGGGCAACCTGAGAGTCATAAACGGGATGAGGAGGCGGACAATACGTAGACTAGAAGGTAAAATACCAAAGTTGTCAGGTGATGAAATAGTAGGTGTCGTGGGTAAGTAGAAAGAGGTCCGTTTTGTTAAGGAAAGCACTTTTTGTGCTGTTGGTTCTCAAACATTAATTCAACTTAATGAAGTGGGACAATACTTTGTCGGAGAAAGGGCTCAAGTTTGTTCTCCAGGTTGTGCTGAGGTGACTGGAAAACAAGGGCAATATTCTTACTTCCTTCTCTTATCATCTTCCAGACCCCAGGGACTGAGTTGAACTCTGACATGTTCTTGCCACCAAGGACTTCTTTCGGGGAAGTCCCCATTCACCAGGTACACACAACTAGGGTTGTCAAAGACATGAGTAATTGTATTCAAATATCTCTGGACTTAATCTCTACTCCTGCCAAAGGGATAATTAAAAAATGGCTGGAATAGCCCTTCATGGTGTGAATATAATAGATGTTTGCTATAAATACAGAGTTCAAAGGTGCTAGCCAGCAGTTGGTGGTGGGAGGAACAAGGGGATTACAGTGATGAGGTCACAGGGAAGGGACATATAGAGCAAGAATTGGGTGAGCACCAACACTTAAAGTGGTATGTCATTTGGAAAGCATTGAAAAAACCATAGGTCAGGTCAGGTCTCTCCTTTGAATTATAAGGTCAAAGCCCCTAACCCCACCATCATGGCATAAATGTGTGTAGCTCCCAAAGAGGTATCAGAAGAGTGATTTAAACTTTCAAGCCAGTAATGGCAGTGATGGCATGATTGGGGGGAGGTGGCATAGGAGTGACACAAGTTGAATCTTAGTTTCATCACTAAACTGTGATCTTGGATAAGTTACTGAACTTCTCAGTTTTTCATTCATAAAGTCAACATCTCCTTCAGAGTTGCATTAAGGGGCAGTCAAGATAATGTAATACACTTAGAAGACTGCTCCCCCAAACAGATGCGAGTGTTCGGTGAATGTGAGACCCCACCCTCCGCTTATCCATTTAGTGCACATCTATCGAGGTACGTCTCTGTAGAGGTGCCCTGGGGGAGGCCAAGGTGAGGAAGGCAGGCTTCGCTGTGGGTTCATTTCTAAGGTGCTTTTTATCTCCCGCATCCTGTGACATGAAAGTGGCAGGACAAAAAGACCACGGTGACCCCAGTTCCATGATCTTTCCCCGTTTTCCAATTTCTTTACTTCTTAGCTGTGTTTTGCAATCAACTTTATTCCACTGTTTTCTCCATTTTTACGTTCTTCTCCTCTTCTTCCTGGGATGTCAACCATCTTATTTATCTATTAATTTTTAAAAATACTTAACAAAGATTTTATTTATTTATTTTTAGAGATGGGGAAAGGAGGGAGAGAAACATTAATGTGTGATTGCCTCTCACAGGTCCCCAACTGGGGACCTGGCCTGCAACCCATTTGTACCCTGACAGGGAATCAAACTGGCAACCTTTTGGTTCACAGGCCAGCACTCAATCCACTGAGCCACGCCAGCCAGAGCTAGCTATTTATTTATTTATTTATTTATTTATTTATTTACTTACTTACTTACTTACGAGAGGAAAGGAGGGAGAAAGAGGAGAGAAACATCCATGCTGGAGAGATCAAACCTGCAACCCAGGCATGTACACTGACCAGAAATTGAACTGGCAACCTTTCCATTTGTAGGATGATACCCAATGGAGCCACACGAGTCAGGGCTCAAACATCTATAACCTTTTATCCTTTTCCATTACCTAATCCTTGAAAAATGCAAGTTCAAAATCACTTTATCGCTAGTTAACTGTCTTTATATTTCTCTAATAGTTTACAAGGACAAAGGAGAAAAGGGAAAAATTAAAAAGCCAAATACCCAGAGGGACAGATTTCATAATCTAAAACCTAGTATACTTATTCACCATAAATGCCACGAAGCTTTTAAAACATTACCCCTGTAGTCTAATGCCTTAAATTATGAGAAAGATATTTATGGATTTTAAAATTGTTTCCTTCTGAGCTTACTGTGAGTCTTTTGGGGGATAAAAAAAAGATAAAATAATAGAAAATTACTGTTGCCTGGTTACTTGGCTCTGAAGAGAAATGGAGAAATAATGCCCATGTCCCAGTTTAAATGAATTCAGGCCGAGTAGCCACGACAGAAATCCCTCAGCAAACATGCTGTCACATCTGGCTTTTGAAATGTCAATATAGATTCTAGAACCCTAGACTTGGAGAGGACCTTTAGAGAGCGTTTGATCTTTCATATAGAAAGGATGACATTTAAACCATAGAATCTCCCCAATTTCTGGAGACCATCAGAGAAAAAAATATTATCCATGCTCATTCTTAGATTTATTTACTTTCTATTTGTAGAAAGTTACTTCTACCCATTTCAAATTTTAGCCAGTCTTAAGTAAAATCTTTAAAACTACTGTATTCTGCAAGCTAATTTCCTCCTCTTTGGTCTCTGAAGAATCAGAAAATACCCTGCCAACAATTATGCAACTTTTATAAATGTAGTTTTGGTGAATTTCCCTTCTGCCTCTCTTGGGGTCAACCCATGAGCTTTGTTTTTCCCTTACATTTTCCTTTTGGTTTTAACGTTTTCTTTTTTCTCTAGCCTTTTAAAGTCTTTCTTCTCAGTAGAGCCTGGAACACAGCAATTTTGATTCTCAGCAGGGCCAAACCAGGTTGTTTTCCACATGTTACATTTCTGTAGAGGCGTGTGTCCTCGGCACCGTGTCTGCTGCCCTGCCGTGTCACTCCCTTCTTCCTCCGTGGGCTGTCCTATTTGTAATCTTACTCTGTGTTATCGCATCTGATTTTCTACTTAGTGGTACCCACTTAATAGTTGTGTACTTTCTAGCCTATTTTTCCAGATGATTGAAAATAAGTATTTTTGAACACTTATACAGGCTGGCCACAGTGCTAAAGCCTTGTGTGCATTATTTCATTTAATTGATTCAGCCCATTTTATAGATGAAGAGACTGAGGCACAAACAGGTTAAAGAATTTATTCAAGACCTTATACTTCGGAAATGGTAGAGTCAGTATTTGAATCTTGGTAGTTTTACTCCAGTATCTATATATTCTTACTTGTCTATTCTATTCTAAGTTCATATTACTTGTGTAGTAGGCTCTCAAATCAATAAAGTTTGGGAATACCATGAAAAAACCCGAGGGAGAGGAATAATGGTGGAAAGAAGGGGAAGGGATGAGTCAAAAAACATGTGTGAATGACCCATGGACACGGACAACTGTGTGGGGACTGACTGTGGGAGTGGGGGTTGGGATGGGCAGAGGAGGGCAAAGGGGGAAAAACTGGGACAACTGTAGTAGAATAACAATAATAAAAAACTGTAACCCTCCCCGCTCCCTCCAAACCTGAGAAAGCTTGGGCTAGGGTTGCCAGATTCAACAAATAAAAAGACAGTATACTCAGTTCAATGTGAATTTTACGTAAACAATGAATAACTTTTTAGTATAAGCGTGTCTCATACAGTATTTGTGAGATACTCAATGCTAAAAATTATGTTGTGCCCTGGCTGGTGTGGCGCAGTGGACTGAGTGCCAGCCTGCAAACTGGAGGGTTGTCATTTCTATTCCCAGTCAGGGCACCTGTCTGGGTTGTGGGCCAGGCCCCCAGTAGGGGGCGTGTGAGAGGCAACCACACAGTGATGTTTCTCTCCTTTCCTTTCTCCCTCACTTCTCTTCTCTCTGAAAAGAAATAAAGTCTTTTTTTTTTCTTAAAAGAAGACTTTTCTTCTCTCCCATAACTTTAAAAAAATAACAATTATTTGTTTATATGAAATTCACATTTAACTGGGCACTCTGTATTTGGCAACCCTAGCTAGGCTGGGCATCTTTTCAGGGTAGAGACTGGGACTTTTTCACTGAATTGATATCATGATGAATTTTGGGTCAATTTCCACTGTTTGGAGCAGGATTGCAGTGGTGTATGGATTCTTCAACATTATAAATCTCTACAGCACCTACCAGGAATTATGCCGTGTTTACAAATCAGTTTTCCCTGTTTCTGCGCTGATGCAGGGAACACACAGGGTCCGGCAGAAGGCAGGCCTGCTGGAGTGTGGTTGCTAGGGTAATAATATGGGTGCAGTGATTTATAGTTTCAATCTGAACATCTCACCTAAAATGTCACATAGTGTGCTTGAGTGTGATATTTTTATGTTACAGAATTACATGCATAGGATTTTGTAAATAAAAGATTTTGTAAGAACGAGGGGCGTTATTTGTGCCAGACCCAGCATATTCATTTGAATATATTTTTAGGGTGATCTTGTACTCACTCACTTGGCAGGGATATTTTATTTCTTATATCACCTATTCTACTATTAGCTAGTGCTAAATTTCACTTTGATAAAAAAGTAAATACAAAGACTCAGTTAGCAAGACCGAAAATAAAACTAAGACATGAGTTCACACCTTTGGTGTTGTCCAGAACAATTCCTCTATCAGCTCGAGGCAATTAATCCAGCATATCATTCATTTACAGAGTGGTCATGTAACAAGAATCACTTTCAGTCACAAAGGGGGTCATGAAGCCCTCAGGGCTCTTTGAAACTAGAGCTAGTTTGATCGATCACTTGCTCACATAAAACTAGAAATAAAAAGGAATGGAAACACAAACACGAAGTGACTGACCATTACCACTTTTATAAAAAAACATCAGAAACAGTGGCAAGACCCCTACTGAGCAGAACAAAAGGAGTGCTGGTTAAGTTCTTACGCACAGAGTAGCCACTGGCCAAGATACAGACTGTCCCCCACTAACGACTTTTGACTTGATGATGGTCATCATGTCAAATTTTATTAAAAAGTAGGTGTTGTGTTAGATGATTTGGCCCAACTGTAGGCTAATATAAGTGTTCTAAACACATTTAAGGTAGGCTATACTGAGCTATAATGATCAGTAAGTTTTGATACATTTTCAACTTAATATTTTTTAATTAAAAATTTAAAAAAATCCTTGCCTGTGGATACATTTATTGATTTAGGAGACAGAGAGAGAGAGAGAGAGAGAGAGAGAGAGAGAGAGAGAAACATTGATCAGATGCCTCCTGCACGTGTCCCGACTAGGGTCCGAACCTGCAACCTAGGTATGTGCCCTGACAGGAAATTAAACCTGTGATGTGACCTGCATGGGACCTGCACTGGCCAGGGCAACTTAATGAGATTTTCAACTTAGGATGGGCTTATTGGGATTAAACTCCATCATAAGGTGAGCAGCATCTGTACATTTTATCCTCAAACCCAAATAGGTAAGTCAGTAAATACGATCTTACTTTCACTATTTACTCTCTATAAATGATAAACTTATCATTGAAAGATAGACCTGTAGAATTTGCAACAGGGCATTTACGAAACATCTTTTTTTGGATCAATATACAGTAAGTCCTCACCATTGTCGATATCTGCGACTTTAAGTCAAATGACGTCTAATGAAACTAACTTTATGACAGGCTAATTGACATAAACAAGAGTTGACTTTCTATGGCATCTTATCAATGTTATAACAGAACTATGTTGAATGAAATGATGTTTTTTGATGACCTGCTGTATTGCTAAAATTCAGTGATTTTTTTCTCCCTCAACTTAATATGATTGTAGATCTCTCCAAATTTATTTTATTTTAGTCATATAAAATTATTAACAAACTTTGGTTTCCTTGCAAACATTGTCTTTATATAAAAAAGTGATTAAAAACAATACCAAATATGAATCACTTCTGCAAAGTTTAATGAGTGAGAAACATTCAACCAAGGTGGCTTCTCCTTGGAAAATTCTACAAAAACTGAATTATATAAACAGTTACTTATTTTGATAGAAGTTCCACTTATAAATAGCAGCCATGACTTACTGCCTACAAAATTGCAGGCTGTCACATTTCACGTTTAGGATTCAAATGTTAAGCTCCAATTTTCTAGTGTGTGCTGAAGAAAGGCATACAGGTAGACCGGTTAGTTGTCCCGTGCTAAGGAAACAGCTGACTTCCATGATCTCACCACTCAGGCAGGTACAGACAACTGCTGGATTTAAACTAGTGGGTGCTACATTTACATTTTTTGTTTAAAGAGGAACCCACATTAACACCGAGAGGGGCAGAGGCTGCAGGACTGTACTGAGGCTCTCCTGTGCTCACAGAGTATCTGACACAAGAGACAAGCTATCACAGGATGTTAGTGTTAAGAGACTTTCAACATGAGAACCTGAACGAACGTGCTATTCCAAGGGACTGAGACATCCTTGCTACTTATTCAGTTGTAGTGAAGTAGTGTTTTCTGAGGTCTAGGTAGCGAGTCTCAGAGTAGAGGGAGCAGACACATGTGTAAATTGGGGATGGTGGACCTGGCATGTTGTTCCTAACAGGTGACTAGTGGCACTGGAGTGGACGGAGGGTGAGAACGTGTTAATAGTGGATTCCCTATGTTGGCCTGGGGAGAGCGACTGCCTTCCGTGAGGACTTCAGAAGGCATTCAAGTCCGTCACTCCCAGGAACATTGGGCTGCCTGCAGAAAATGTGATCAGGACCAGTGGTTTGAGAATTCTAGACCCAAAAGTTAGAAGAGAAGGGTGACATTGGAATTAAGAAGAGTTAACGTTTTGTTTCTTCCTGGGCAGGAAGAAAGCTTCCCAAACTTGCTACTTTGGAGAAAGCTGGCCCGAGTTCTGGGGCCATTTGACAAAGTGGAAGTCTGGTCACTGGACTAAAAAAGAGGCGGGGATCTGTGCCGCAAAGTAGCATTCACAGTTTCACCGAGCCAGGGGGTGCAGGGTGGGGTTTTTGTGGGGAGGGAGAGAAGCTAATGACAAGGCCAAATCCTAAGACAGAGCTTGTCATGGAGATTACCAACATGCTGGCACGTTAACTCCAGAGAGCCGTCTTCCGCTTAACAACCTGGTACACAACCCAGGGACTACACAGGCTGTCCCAGCCTCAACTCCAGTTCTAGGATATAAGAAAACCTTTCTCTCATGTTTGCTCTCCCCCTTCCCAAATCTCCCAGAGTGACCCAAACTTTTCCTAATTATGAATGAGAAAGAAAACACCAGAACGGATTTTGATGCAGCTGCTTCAACCCAGGGACTTGGGCATGAACTCGGCCTTGCACCCACACAGCTGTCTCTGGAGACTGAATGTTCAGTCTGATGCCTGTGTGGCTGCCTGGAGCCCTGGGTTTGAAAACAGACCTCTTACTGCACCAGGCGAACTCCCAGCACAAGCCATACACCTTAAGATTAGGAATGCTTTTGGATGACCCGCCCTTCTCTTCCAGAGAATCTTCACTGTAGAATCTCCAGAACAATAAAAAGACACTTGACCTCAAGGAACGTATAGTTTGCCAGGCAGGCACCTCAGCCACTAACAGACATAACAATCCTACTTTAGCAGCTATTAAGACACTTGAGTTGTTTGTTCCTGCCTTCTTGATGCTGACTGGAACCAACGAGCAGACTGAGAGGGGCTCAGTAACCCCAAACTGCAGAACGAACGGGGAAGAGTTTGGAAAAGAATGGTGTGGCGATGGCCAAGCCCTGGCTCTGACAATGCAGACAGAAGCCACCACTTTCGGCTCCAGGGCATCGAGGGCAGCAGGCATAGAAAAGCTGGCGAAATCTAGCACCGTTCTCCCTCACGAGGGCTCACGAAGGGCGCCTCTGGGATAACTCACGCCCGCACAGCCGGAAACGCCAGGAGGGCCACACGTGCTGCAGCCGCGCCCGCATGGCTCTCCCGGCAAACCGACAAGAACGTGTTTGCTCAGTTGTGAGCCTCACCCACAGGCATCTCCCACCTCGAAGGCAGGGGTGAGAGGTCTGGAGAGCGTTTGTTTTCCCAAATAAGGGAAATGAAACCATCGACAGGCAACACCCTCTCTTTCTCCCACTCCTTAATGATAGCATCCTTAATTAAGCCAGCTTTAAAGGACTAAAATGAATGCCTGGAGGTCAAAGGTCAAACCAATGGTCTACAAATCTTAACAGAAGTTATATATCCTATGTCCCTGAATAAAACCCCAAAATCATCAATCCCTGCCCTCCCTTCCCAGTGGAATAGATTAAAGTCCATTTCTTCTTTTCCACCACAATACGTGGAAGACAAAGAAGCTTAGTGTGAGAGGGAGGAGCCTCCTGGCTCATCATTAAAAAATAAAGATCTCTTTCTCTGAGTTCACCTGAGGTTGTATAAAAATTCTGTTTCAGTTCTCCTCGGTGTCTGCCTCCAAGGGTTCGTCTTCTAAGCCAAAACTCAGCTTGTCAGCTAGTCCCTCAAACTGCTTGCCCAGACTGCCTGCAGAGTCCACGAACATGTTAGGGATGTCTTTGCCAAAGTAAATCTTGCTGTTGGAAGCAATGGCCTTGTACTTCATCAGCTGTAGATACTCAGGGGTCAGCTTCAGCTGTGAAAAAAGAAGGAGGAGAAGACTTAGGTGGAGCCCTGCATGGGCCAACGGTGGGTGGCGCTCCTTCACTGGTCATAAGGAGAGGGTCCCCGTCAAAGACATATGCTCCCTCTACTTCTCCTGGTCTCACCGTTACATGAGTAACAGGGCAATCACTTCTGTAGGAGAAAGTAATCGCAGGTTTTCAAGGTCAGAGCTGCAGGAGTTTCAGGAGTCTCTGTGTTTAGCCCAGACACTGCACGTCCCCAAGGCACTGCCAAGGACAAGGGAAGTGCCTGCCCCGCGCAGCGCAGGAGCCACTTCTGGCCACGAGGGGCCTTGGGTGGCGGGGGGTCTCCCAACACGAGGGGCTCTCAGATGGTACCAGCCTAAACCCAAATACATGTTCTCTTGAACAGGCGGCCCTGGGCATTCACCTTGTTTGCTTCAGCAATTTTCATGGCGGTGTAGCACTCAGCATCGGCCTTTGCCTTCTCCCGGGCCAGGAACGCAGCATCTGCGGGGAGAACGCAGTGAGCCGCAGTGCGGAGGATCCCAGGGCGCTGGGTCTGGTCCCCGTCACCTTCCCCGACTGCCCCCGGCCTCGGGGAGACTGCTGTCCCCCTCGCCCTGGTTTCCACGTCTGTGGGATGGGGGAACGAGGGCCTTGCCGGCATCTCCCTGGGGCGGGGACTAGTCTGAGGAAGTCCGTTGGCGGCCCGACAGCTTTTCTGTTTCCTTTCTTTGTTTTTGCTGACTATGAAGTCCTGTTATTTTCCCTCAGAATGCCCTCTGTCTTCGGAGGGAAAGGACTGACATTCAGGCTGAATGCTACTAGGAGTACTGTCACCTCTACGGACATGTTTAATCTATACTCGCACGTAACTTTAAAACGCATTTAAGCCGCCTCCCACAATGCTTGTAAATGGAGAAGTGGTTCCGTTAGGTCACCCACATCTCCTTGGACAGCACCACGGAGAAAAGCACGGCCGCCCAGAGACACATCCTGCTCCTGCGCTCTCATTCCTTTCGTAGCTCGGCGTCTGGGGAGGGACCCTGCCTCAGCCTCCAGTCTGAGCTTTCCACCTCACCCCTCGTGTGCTGCACTGCAAAAGCAAGAGAGGCCTAGAGAAGGCTCTGAGTGTGGCCGGAGGCGGGTCCACCCTAACACCGAATACCACAAGCATAAAATAGTCCAGTTCCGCTCCAACTCCATTCTCCTTTTCTTTCCATCAGTCATTTCAAGAAGGTTCTAATTAACAGGGGGTAAGCTGGCACAACTCTGAGAGAGTTACCAGTTGTGGTCTGGACTAACACCTGTTTGAACTGAGACCTGTTTAAACTTCTACTATGCAAGCAATACACTTTCTCAATCTGCTGAGACTAGCTTTCTGCCAAGTCGATGCGCATTTCTGATATCCACTTCCTTGCCTCGGGAACGAGTCCGGTCTCACGTGAGTAGTATCTGCAGCAAAGGCCTGGGAAGGAAGGTCGGTCTGCGGGCGGGTTCTTACTGTGCACCCTCAGCACGACCCTGGGTGGAAAGAGCCCGCAATCTGGCTGGAGTTCTGGCTGCGTGAGGCAGACTTACCTGGTCTCAGCACCTGATGACACGTATTTATAAGAAATAAAATGTATTTGTTGTTTTGCTGAGTTCCCTAATGAGGAGCTGCTGATTTGTAAAACCTTAATTGGCTCCTCAATAAGCCCCTGCAAAGCCTGGCAGGTCCCATGATGCGTACAACTGGATACAGCACTTTGGAGCCTGAAGCCGGGCCCTGGGGTTCCCTTTTTGTCCTAGAATGTGCTTGATACTTACATACCACCCAAAGGAAAAGGTGGCTGGTGGGAATGAGCTAAGAGCTGAGGGACAGGGAATTGAAGGTGAATGATATTCAGAAAAGTCAGCAAAGGAACACTCCTCTCCAGCTCCAGTGTTGCTTATACTGAAACGTATCTTCTTCACACCCAGCTTAACATGCACAGGGTCCCTGCGAGCAGACTCACAGGCCAAAGCTATGGTGTTCGCTGACTTCCAAGGAGGGCGTAGGTAAGGTGTAGGGGAGAGGGCTGCTGTTTTGTCCTGTTTTTTAGTTTACTTCCAACGCCAGACTGTGAGCTCCAAGACAGCAGGGACTGTGTGATATCCCTTTTTCTACTGCCTAACGCAAGCGTGCCCAGTGGTGAGGAGCTGACATTTGTTGAGTGAATGAATGCTCCCTGATGTGGAAAATTAATGCCAAATTTGCCCCACAGCGAAAGCACAGAGAAAAAGTGATGCTGCAAAGAAATCGAGAGATCTTAGAACAGAGGTTAAAGGGCAAAGGAGATGACGTTTTCAGCCCCTTGACACGAAGTGGGGTCTGAGGAAAATCTAGGTATTCATTTCACTTCTTACCTTCAATTTCTGAAATCTTCTTCTCGGTCTCCTTCTCCATCACCTTCTGTCCATAGGTGATTTCTGCAACCTGAGCCACTTTTTCTGCCTCTGTATGAACACAGTTGAGAAAAGGCTTAGAGCTCTGATATTTCAAGGGTTTGACTCAGTTTCACCTTCCCCCTGAGCAGAGGCCCTGGTGCGTGGGCGTGGGTCGGCTCAGATGCAGCCCCAGAGGACGAGCAGACAGGCGTGCGTGGGCCGAGACGGAGGATACCCGTGAGCACAAACCACGGCATCAGCGCAAGACAGTGACTGGGGAGCTGTGGGCTCAAGGGACGGCAGTTGTCACTCTGATTGATTCAAGGAACAAATCCTAACTTCTTTCTTAGATCACGAGGGTATTTCTCCTAAAGGAATATTTTAAGGAATGAGGTACTCTCTGAACAGCTTATTCCTGCCACTTCACTTCAGGAAGCAGGCAGGTTTGTTGCCGACAGTGTAGTGTAGAGTTAAGGACGCAGGTTCTGGAGCGGAGTCCCACCACTGCACTTGCCACATCGCTGTGGGCACATTATTCACCCTCTCTGTGCTTCCTGCTCTGTGTTCCAGCTCAGCAAAGCGGGGTTCAAGTACGCGTCTGCCTCACGTGCTAGCTGTGAGGAGTGAGAGGGTTTAATGCAAGTGCTTAGGAAAGTACATGGCTCGCAGTAAGTGCTCAGTAAGTGTTAGCCTTCATCACTGTGAGTGAACAGTAAGGGCTCCTTTCATTTAAGATGTACGTGGAAACTTGAACTTACTGCACTGGCCCCAATCTGACAACGTCAGCTTTGCTTCTGGGAATCTAAGAGCCACTCCTACGGGTGGCAAGGGTTTGTAGAACCATGTGGTCTAACTGTGCCGGAGGCTTCCTGGACTCTTCCCACCACCCCCAGTCCTTCTGGCCTGAAAGGGGATCAGAGAACCACATCCAGACCAATGAGGGCCTTCTTCCGCTCTGTCTCGGCTTCTTTTTCCACCACCTTCTGCTTCTGGGCTGCAATGAGAAGCTTTGTCTTCTCGCTTTCCCTGAAGGGGAAAAAAGTATGCAGTTGTGAGGTCGCTATGGAAGAGTTTCTGAGGAACTTCAGTGTCCCCTGGAGAAGCTGAACTCTTCTGCTGAGACAGGGAAAACCCTGATTTCTTACTCTCTCCTGGCTGGTGGTTCAACGTCCCGGGTGAAAGCAGATCTGTTGCAGACATGGCTCACCTCCTCCTCCAAAATAACTCATTTGTGGGAAACAGAGCATCATTTACTTCAGTAAAATGCACCTGCTGGCCCACTTAATCGTCTTTGCCTCCTATCTTCTCTGGCATGAGCCTGAAGCACAGACAAGGCCCCCGGTCCCTCTAAAAGCATCCTTGCTCCAGAGGGCTTCTCCATGCCACTCAGGCACAGATACGGAGCCCAGGTGACCGTCCTGGCGTGCCTGCTCCACCCCACAGTGCCATGGGCTGTGACAAACACTCAAGATGGGAATGAAAGCCTGGCACAAGTGAACGCTGGGGTGGGATGAGCTGGGAGAGGGTGGTGGTTTCAGCTCAGGCACAGGATACTCACATCAACTCGTAGTTTCTGCGGATCGCCTCCGGTATATTGGGCTTTGTCACCCGCACAGCCTGCAGAAGGAGAAAAACAGCACCTGATGGGAAGTCAGGGAGGCGAGGGACCTAAGCAGCTTCCTTTGGTCCTTGATCTTCCTGCACTGAAAGGACATCCCTTGAAGGGGTGGGGGTGCACCTTCATCAGGGGACACTCCACAGTGGCAATGCTTACCTGGATGACGAGCCCAGGGGCCATGGAGGTCAGGTCCTGTTGCAAAGCCAGTTTGAGATTTTCATCAATCTGATCTGCAACCCGGAAAGACAGGAAAAGGGGCTGTCACGCTTTCTAGGCAGGTGGAGGGAAGTGTGCATGGAGAGTTAAAGCTAAAATACCTGTTCAAGAATGCGTCTCGCAGGCAAAAGCCCCTCCCCAGGCGAAGTGCTCATCATAGCTCAGAAACCTAAAGTCCCCAGCAAGACTCCGGAGCAACGTGCCTCTGCAGGCCCTCTACCTGGGCCAGATGGGAAACTCCTTTTCCTGGGGTCTCAAGACAGGATCGCCTGGGCTGTTGAGAATATCGACCTTGCCCAAAAGGAAACAGCTTTTTTTTTTTTAAACAAACAACAATTCTAGCACATTTTTTTGTATTAGGCAGCAGCCTTTCTCCAGATAACAGGAGCAAAACAGAAGGCAGGCACCCGGTCTTCATGGAGAAAGGAGATGGAATGGCTGTTAGGTATTTTGAAAAGAGCCGAGCACATTAAATCTAACAATTTTAGATGTTCTCAAAAGAAAAACAGATTCTGACGTCAAGGTAGCCCCAAGGAAGACTGTTTCCATTAGGAACTCCATCAAATAACACGAGGGGAAAATAAAAATTTACAGTCTTGGAAATGAGCCCAAGTCTTTTGATGTGTTGTTTGCTTTGGTCCCGACTCCTCCGCCTGGAATTCACATGTGAGTCATTTCACAGACAAGTGTAGGAAGAACTATAACTGATCCCCCTTCCAGCTGCGGTCCCAGGACCGCAGCACCAGGCTGCCTTTTTTGGCCTGCGATCCTCAGCAAGATCCCGGAAGGGCACGGACAGAAGAGTCCACGACACCAGGCTGGGGCATCTGAATCCCCAAACAGGGGCCTCTGAGAAACAGAAGATCTAACTCCTGCCTTTTACAGGTGCCCAGACTGAGATCTGCAGAGGTTGAGGTGTGCTCAAGCCGTTAGTAGGCAAGATAATGAACTTGTTTTGTAATGTTTGTAATGTTTGTCTTGTAATGAACTATGTTTTGATGTTTAGGGCTTAAAATGCTACCTTTTCAACCATCATATCAGCGAGCAAGGGGTTTGGATGTCCCCATGTACTAGAGATGCTCTCACAGGGCTCTCAGCTCTGCGGGAGAAGTGCCCGTCAAGGTAGGACCCTGTAAGGGGCAGTGGCCTAGCACTCTGACAGCTAGAGATGAGTATTACATTTCATAGTTTTTAGTCTGAATAGGACGCCCACCAAACTTTAAGTGAGATGGCCCGTACCCTCCATAAGTTAGTAATAACAGTCATTTATCAGACACAGTTATATCTGAGTCGAGGTAGAAACCTGTGGCTGTGGGCTAGTAACTTTCTAGGAAAATCTGAAAGGAATATTTTGAAAGGTGGTTTACCAAAGTAACACTGGTAACAAGTTGCTTGTGTTACAGTTATGCTAATGAATGCTGGCTAAGGTATATTATTAAGTATACACCAAGAAGTTCTTCAGGTAAACTTTTGAACAAATACTAGGTTACATACATATATAGTATATGTGTGTGTGTATATATACACACATATTTAAATCCTCACTGGAGGATATGCTTTTCTTCCATTGATTTTAAAATCTATTTTGTTTATTTCTACAGAGAGGTGAAGGGAGGGAGAAAGAGAGGCAGAGAAACATCAAGACGAGAGAGAAATATCAATTGGCTATTTCTCATATGCCCTCTGAACGGGGACTGAACCTGCAACCTAGGCATGTGCCCTGACCAGGAATCAAACCGGCAACCTTTCGCTGTATGGAATGATGCCCAACCGAGCCACACTGGTCAGGCTCTTCCACTGATTTGAGAAAGACAGAGAGGGAGGAAGGGAGGGAAGGAGAGATAGAGAGAAACATCAATGCGGAGAAACATCGACTGGTTGCCTCCTTTACACGCCTGACCAGGGTTCGAACCCACAACCTAGGTGTGTGCCCTGACTGGGAATTGAACCTGCAACCTTCTGGTGTATGGGATGATGCTCCAACCAAGTGAGCCACCTGGCCAGGGCTGGATAATATTTTCATAAAATGGGCAAAGGAGATGCATCAGAGTAAGCAGGGATGAGAATTATGCAGTTGTGTTGAAAGTCGGGGCTAGGAGTGCTGAGAGGAGGGAATTACAATAGAAAAAAGCCTTGATGGTCAAAGAATAGGATTAGAGATTCTAGTTTCTCCTTTATGGATGCAAATATATTCTTAGCAAAACAGTGCTGCTGACAAGACTGAACTTTAAAAAGAAAAAAATTTCAAAGCAAATATATTTTCTAGCTCCTTTGTACAATACAAGAAGCTATACTTTATTAAGCTACCATGTTGATCTCTAAGACAATAAAAAGTTTTTTAATGCAAAACAATTTCACAGTTTAATTTCCTCTTCATGGCAATTAGAGATCCTTTGTTTTTTGTTTCAAATGCTTTGAAATGTTCAATTAGTGGTGCAAGTTTGTAAACAATAGCTAGAGAGAAAAAAAATGATATTTATAAAGTTGTTTGATGTTAAAAAGTAGCAAATTTACCAAATTTTTCCTAAAAGCACAGTGAATTCAAACCCAATAAAATAATCTAAACCCTATAGAGTGAATTTAGATTCATTTTCTACTGCTGAAAATTAAAAGTGATTCTGATGGTTTCCCAAATCTGAAACACAGCGCAAAAGGCTGCCTGCTTAATTAAGGTCATTGGCAACATCAGTGACTCCTCCTTCTGTCTGCTCTAAAAAACGTTCCCACTCAGGGTCCTTTTTACGGAGATTCTTGGGAAAAATCACTGTCCAGTCCTAGTATCAAGAATAATTGTACTATGGGCTGAAAAATCCATTTACTTCCAGCACTGGTACTAGAAAGCTTCTAGCAGTAAGTTTATAATAGAACATTTTACCATAAAAGAGCTATAACAATTACTGAAATGTTTCCTTTCTTCGTCGCTAAAGTTAGGCTATGTTTACTTAGGCCAGGTAAACGGACAAGAAATGTTTACTTATGTGTGTGAATCCTTTTAGTCTGAAGCTTTTCCCTATTCATCTTTATAGGTATAGGGTAAACAAACAAACAAACCAAAACCCCCTACAGAGGTTCTCGGAACTGTAAGTAGCTATGGTCCTTGTCCCACTCCCCTCAGCCTTGGCGGGGTCTTTCCTTCAGTATGGCGTGGTGGAAAGCATACAAAGTGAGGTCCGCGAGAGGGAGGGTCTAGCTTCCGCTGCTGTCAACTAGCTGCAGGACATTCTTTGCGTGTAGGTATGCTTATTTTAAAACAAGGATGTAGGGCTGGATAATCTCTCAGGTTCCTCTAGAACTGAGCCTGTTTTTGTCTCAGAATGAGGTTTTAGGGGCCGTGGAAACAGAGTTCCATCCCAGTCCTCTGATTCAGGCCAGGAGTGAGTCCTGTGGTCCATAGCTCCTCCCACACCCATAGCTCCACCACTCTCATGTTCTTCCACTGTCACCAGCATTTTTGTGGAATGCCCTTCGTGACCACTTCCTGAGCGCTGGGTCTTTTAACCGCTCCGGTCCAGCAGTACCCACCTGACCCTGTGCACAGCTCAGAAGTAGGCAGTGGGGGGAAGCAGGGCTGCTAAGGCATGCTCTGATCAGAAGAGACTTTCTTACCAAAGAGCTCAATGTAGACCTCTTGAAGCGTGTGTACACTGCAGAACTGGTTCAGCTCGTGGTGGATCTTGTTGAAAATGAGGGCCTTGTCGTAGTCAGCAGTGTAGTTCTTCACTATGTCATACACTGGGGGGTGGGGAGAGGTTTCAGAACGAGAGAAGGCAGCGCGTAAAACTTGCTCAGACAGAGCAGTCTTCCCTTCCCGAGGTGCTGTGACAGGCACTGGGGTGGCATGCTGGGGACGGTAAGCTGGTGGTGGGGGGTCAAGTGGAAAAACACACCTGCATTCGGGATCAGGAAGTTCACCACTTCGATTCTGTCAAAGTAGATCATCACACCGCCACTGTGAGAGGAAGGATGGACAGAGAAGTCACTAAGGAGCTCTGGAACAGAGTGCAGTCTCCTAGGCAACCTGACATGCGACTCGGCACAAAAGGAGAAGTATGCGTGAGAGGTCGGAAGGTGTGTGGATCTAGAAGTAGGAGCTTCTGAGCTTACAGCAAGAATACAATCTCCTGAGAAATCACACTTCCTAAAAGTAATTCCACAAAGGAAAAAGCAAAACATTTGATACACCAGTAAGAAAAGAGTAGTGCATATCTCTGAATCTGCAATTGTTTTGACAAAAATGGTTGAAGGAAGAAGACCAAAGCAGGTGGAGGAGTTCTAGATCACGAGAGGTCGCCGTGGAGTTCGCGGACAGTCTCCTCCCACTGTGTGCACCATCGCTCTAGTCCAGCACTCCCCTTCCTCCAAGGAGTCATTACGCAGAAATTTCAAAGATACAGAAAAGTTGAACTAAAATCCATTTACCAACACTGAAATTTAATAGTTAATATTTTACCTTACTGATTAATCTACTTTTTTTCCCCTGAAATCTTCAAAATAAGTTACACTCATGACACTTTACCCTGTAACACTTGGCAACATCACCTAGGTGTAATGACATTCTCCTCCAGAGTCACAAAACCATTCCCAAAATGAAGGACATCAGCAATAATTCCTTAACATTACTGAACACCCGGTCACTCCAACCTCCCCAGTGATTCCTATTATGGGCTGAACTGTGTCCCTCCCAAACCCCTCTGTGGAAACTCTAACTCCCCATGTGACTATATTTGGAGATAGAGCCCTTAAGGAAGTAATTAAGGTTAAATGAGATCATAAGGGTCAGGCCCTAACCGATTAGACTTGTTAAAAAGAAAAAAAAGAAAAAGGACACCAGATGTCGCTTTCTCCTCTAATGTGCAGACAAAAGGCCACGTGAGGACACAGCAAGGTGGCCATCTGCAAGCCAGGAAGCCAGGCTTCCCCAGCAACCAACCCTGCAGGCGCCTCGGGCTTGGACCCGGAGCTTCTGTGACCGGGAGAAAATAAACTCCTGTTGCTTAAGCCGTCCAGTTATGGCAGCCTGAACGGACCAATACAATTTCATCAATCTTTCACAGCCGTTATTTTTGGACCAGTTTCCAATTAAGGCTCACCACTGCATTTGTTTGTCTTTTAAGTTTCCTTTTCACCCCAACGCCCCTCCAAATACAACTCTGTGCCAAGATCAGACCCATTATCCTGTGTGGTGTCCCAGTTCTGGGTCTGCCCAAATGTTTCCCGTGGCGTTTGCTTTGTGCCTCTGTCCCAGGTTAGACCTTCTTTCCTCTTCAGCGGACCGCTACACTGATGCTATCTTTGGACTTCCTGCCACTAAGGGCCCATCCCCATTAAGCCATTCCCTATAGTTCGTTATACTAAAGTTATCTTCCTCTGTGAACTCATTTATCTGCTAAAAGCCTTTAGAGGATCCTTACGTCTAACAGAAAAAGTCCAAATTTCTCACGACATGTGAGGCCCTCCCAAACCTCACTTCTGTGATTCTCTCTACTGCACCCCTCCACCCTCTAGAATCAGAACACAGGGAGCCAGTGGTCAGGAAACTTGGTAAAACCAGAGGGTACCTCCCTGTTCACCATCTCTCACTGCAACCACCCCACCAGCCAGCCCTTCCTCTTATCTGGGCTCAACGGTTTCCTTCCGGGCACTTTACCTCGTCCCGCACGGCACATTCTTCACCTCGTCCGTCTGCAGCGTGGTCTGGAAACAGAGGAGACACACAATGCTGAAAGACGGGCAGTGACAAAAAGAGTAACTTAGTTCTGGAATTCTGAATGGCCTTGTCCCTGCACACCTGTCCGGGTTGAACTTCGTCTTTGGTAAACATGAACACCCCTCCGTCTCCTCCTGACTTGCAGGGTGTGAGACTGACCCAACGAAGGGGCCGGCCAGCCTCCACTGCAAGTGAACCACGATGCGAACGAGCTGGGTGGTAATGGTTTAGGGAGAAAGACCCTGGACTAGGAACCCTGTGTTTATTTCTACCTCTTCCACTTACTGGTCTTGAAGCAGATTCTGTACTTTAACCCGTCTCCGCCTATAAGACCTGCTCAGCCCACCCTCAGGATTACTGTGAGGTCCAAATGAGACAATGGGCATGTGTGCACCTCCAAAACCATAAAGCGGAGTACATGGCAGAAGAAACTCACAAGGAAAATGCTGAGGAGGTATCCCAGGATACTGGACACACTTCAAAGACCACGGGTCTAATTTGGCTAGGCTTTAGGTCTGTCATAAGTAATCCTACTCCTATCTGAGATGTCATTTCCCTTCACTAAGTTCAACTTCCCTTGCCCTCCCCAAAAATGATGTTCACATCTCTGACATTCAAATAAGAACCAGCGACATTACCATATTTTATTTCTATCTACCTTGGTAGCCTGTGATTTAAAACACAGACACAGACACCCTGCTTTCCCCTTTACACATCCAAAGCAGATTCTCCTCTGGCTTTGTCTGGAAGTGAAGAAACACTCCCAGTCGGGAGGCAAGGACCCCAATCAACTTTTTTCAACAATCAGGTGAAGCTCCAGAGTAAATGGCCCATGGACCCTCATTCTTCACATATAAAACTTATTCTTAAATGATTCCTTGAAAAGGCATTATACTCATCCAGCAGCTGAGTAATTCCAAACCATGCATTAGTCACACCCCCAGTCCGCAGTTGTCCGGCCCTGCCACACAAGCCAAGCATACCTGCACAGACTTGTACGAGGTGATGAAAGGGAGCATGAGGTGGAAACCAGGGCCGCTGGTGGAAGTCAGCAGGGCGCCGCCCCTGCAGAGGAGAGAGGGAAGTCCATTTAGCAGGAGGTACCTTTCACACTGATACTCTTTGGGCAGCTTTCCCAAAAGTACGAATGTTTCATAGAGAGTGACAAGTGCCAGAGCCATGCCCACAGACCCCTCTCTTCCTCCCAGGCAGACCGAATATTCTAGGAAACCCAATGCTTAAACATAAAACCACAATTCATGCTCTTGCAGCGAGGAAAATAGGCACATAGGCTAAGTGGAACAAAGACAGCAGAATCCCCAGCTACATGTGAGAGGAAGTCTGTTTTACTCTGTAGTAACTGTTGAACTTGTGGCAATCCATTGGGGCACTTAAACCCAGTAACTCAGTTATCAACCGACTGCACTGATGTTGGATTCCAGTGACATCAACACCAAAAGAATAATTTTAAGTACACTTTACAAATAATTTTCATGTATTTTTTGGCAGCAGAGTCAAAGTCAAGATAGAGTCTAGAAAGAAAGTCATCTTTCTATTCAAGTTGTATGTAAATGATAATAAAAAGCCTTTTTTGGGGGACATATAAACAGAAGGTAGGGAGAAATAATTAAAGGGGTATGAGAAACCCAGAAATAAGCATCATAAGGCACATAATAAGGTCATAAAGACTTAAAAAAGGTTTTATTTATTTACTTTTAGAGAGAGGGAGAGGGAGGGAGAAATAGAGGGAAACATCAATGTGGGAGAGATACATTGATCAGGTGCTTCTCTCACGCCCCCAACTGGGGATCTGGCCCGCAACCCAGGTGTGTGCCCCGACTGGGAGTCGAACCAGTGACCCCTCAGTTTGCAGGCCAGCACCCAACTCAATGAGCCACACCAGCCAGGACAGAAGAGGGTCATAAAGACTTAAAGCAAAAAACTTGGTTATGGAAGTTACTAAAAGGAAGGTAACCCAAGGCTTTTAATTGCTCCTTGAGTAACATAAACCAAGCTACAGGCTCTTTCATTTTTCCTGAAATGTTAATTTGAAAGAGTAGGTGCAAAATTCGCAGAGCAAGGCTGTCTTCTCCAGTTGCCTTCAAGAACTGGTACTCATCAGAGGCAACCCTGAGGCACCAAGATGCATAGAGGGATGCAGGAGAGAACAATGTTCAGAGAAAATCTGCAAGGAGCAATGGCTGCCTTCAGGTATTGTCTCTAAATCTCTCTATACACTTATCAATCACCATCCATCACCTTAGAATGCTAAATTTTAGATTTACATTTATGTGTAAGCGTATACACATACAACACATGTTCCCCTCCTCATGGCCGCCAACACAAAAGCTCAACCTGAAAGGCGTCCATGTTCAATAAAACATAAACGTGATATTCAGCAGAATCTGCTCCTCCCTGACTAGGAAAGAGTCATTTAACAGGAAGTTGTAAGCTTCTCCCTGCCTCTGCCTTACCTGTAATAGACCCCAATATGTCCCTCTTCTATCTTGTGCACAGCTGAGAAGAGAGATGCACAAAAGAAACTGGCAGCCACAGCCACAACTGCTCCCAACTGAGCCATCCGTGAACCGTTAACCTGGGGAAAAAGATACGGGAAAACGTGTCTGGTCTGCGGTGCAGGAGCCAAGCTAGGACAGCCAGAGTACCTCACCAGGCGGAGCTCCCTGGAGGCGGCTCCTATCCAGCCTGCTGTAGTATGAACACGAGGCTAGACCTACAGCTCTTCCTGTCCTTGCTCCCAGTCACCATTCCCATTCCTTAACTGTGGAATTCTGTTCCCCAGCTCGTGGAAGAGGCAGTGGCTCCAGATACAGCTGTGGCCCAGGGAGAACCGGTGCCAACTGGGCAGCGCTCAAAACACAGCCTTCTCTCCCTGTGAACACGACTGTGCCGTCCCTGGGGCCACTCACACCAGTAAAAGGAAAAAGAGGCAGCTGCGGTGTGTTGGCCCAAATTACAGAGGAAGTCGAGTGACAGGCAGTTGTGGCTTGTAATCCTGGTCAGAGCCTCCCGGTCCTAATTGCCTGCCACTTCAAAGGAAACCTCCTTCGGAGGCTGCAGCGACAGAGGCAGCATGCGAAGAGTTCCAATGTGGGACTCTCTGGCCTTCTGTCCACCTTCCCAGTTACACCTTGGGCTATAAACGAGAGAGGGCTCTGAACAAGACCGCAGCCACACTCCCTCCCACTTTCCTGTTACTTTGTACCTGACAGGTTCCCAAGCCCACGGTTAGAGAACTGGGGTTCCCCAGGGTGGGAAGATTCTGGACTCGTGTCCAACTGCGTTCGGGCACAAGGTTGCGAAAGAGTTGGGATCTAGAGACTCATTTCCCGAACACTGAATGATCAGGAAAAAGTAGGGTAACTGACACCACAGTTCACAATAAGGCGTGCCTGGGCCAACCCGCGCAGGGCGTGGATTCTGCCTCCTTGATCTAGAAGTTGGGCGCAGACATCTGAAAGGCGCTGATTTCACCGAGGTGGCCTCCAGCTACGGATTTGCAGCTGCCGTCCTTCCCTTTCGAGGTAACCCCCGCCCCACCTCGCGCCCTTTCCGAGGGAAGGTCGAGCATCCCAAGAGCCCTGGGTAGGAGCTGGGGCTCCAGGAGCCTCTGCTCGGTCCCGCTCGGGAGCTAGGGACAGAAAGAGATTCGGGGGAGAGGGGTGGCTCTCTCGTTCATGAGGAAGAGGCCGTTGGCGGGGGGCCGGGGAGTATAGCTCATCAGCTCGGCCGGGAGCCGCAGCTAGGCCCAGTGCACGCACTCAGGGGCGGGGGCCGCGTACCAGGCTGTCCCTCCAGGCGCTCCGTACTCTGTCCGAACCACAGTGCAACCGCAGAAACGGCCACACCCCTCAGCTCGCCACTTCCTTCCGGGTCCGTCGCTTCGATGACGCGTTAGTTCACGCGAGAAGACCACACCCCCTTGCCGCCCTACTTCGTTAGCTCCGCCCCCGCGCTCCGAATGGTTAGTGTCCGCGGGTGGCCGCCAGGGAGCGCCAGCGACAAGGGTCGGGCGGTCAGGGATTTGGGTCTAGGATTTCAGGGGTGGCGATGGTGCGGATCGCCTGGGGAGTGATCCCAGGGAGGACACGAGCGGTGCTGAGCTTGTTATTTTCCAACGTTTTGACTTTGGAGATTGCTCCGGATTCCCCTCCACGTTAGGTCATGACTGTCTTTTTTTTTTCTCGGAGCAGGCACTAGCGATTTGCAACAGTTTTTAGCCCTCTGCTCGCCTCTGTTCTGTAGCACCCCTCAACGAAATACATCTTTTAAATGTGCAGATCAGCACCATTACGTCGCTGATCAACAGTCCCTTACCTTCAAATTGTCCTGTATGCTTTTGTAGGATCTTTGGCCTTTGGGGTCCCCACGGCATCATAAAGTAGATTAAGGTGGAATTATTCCATTTTAGTGGACAAAATCTAACTTCAGTACGAGGGTAACTAACAGTGGATGAAAGCCTTCCTGGCGCTTCTTTAACATCAGGAGCCTAATTAACGGCCTTTGTAACGCCTGCCACAGATCACAGGTGCTGTGAACGTCCTAGTCTCCCTGGCTAGACTGTAAATGCTCAGGGCAGGGACCGCTTCTTCCCTTGAGCATGCTGGGAACTTAGGTGCTCAGTGGATACAGACTGAACAGTGGGACCAGCACTAGGCTCCAGGGTTTGTGTCTGCTGCTTCTAAGGGCCTCAGGCTGTGCACAGCTTTCGCTGTTCAGCAGGATCATACTGGGGCATTTCTAATTCAACCATTGAGGTTATTCTGTTTGCAGAAGAGAAAGGGTCCGCTTAATCATAGCCTTCAGTAAATGAAAAGCTTTTACGTAGGATGGGTGGCAAGCTGATGGGGTTAGATTTAGGATCCAGGAAAGAGGATAATGTAGGGTTACCAGGCATGGCTGCTTGGGATTCGCTTGGGATCACCCTGGGTTTGCTCTGGATGAGTCTCCAATGGGAAATTTCAGCATTACATAGTTAAACCCACCCAGCTGGGCTGCATGGTGCTGCTGGGGAGCCCTGTGCCCATCTGTGCGAATGAGGGCCTCTCCTCTCCCCACCTTGTCCCTGCAAATCCTCCCTACCCCCCAGCTGGCCAGGCTCCGGACTGATCCTATCAGAACTTGTTTAGTGATATAACTCAGACTATGTGCTTGGTAATTGTTTACTTTGTAGTTGAGTGAATGAGTAAGAGAAATGGAAATATTGGGGTTTATCAGGAACAAGGAATGGGGCTTAGCCTGAAGCATAAAGGATTTAAATTAGTTGTAATTTAAGAATTTCCTGACTATTAAACTTGGTAATGAACTATGAGCAGAAGTGGGATTTTGTTCTCAGGAGGCTTCTTAGCAGGCTTGAGCAGTTGAGCTGTGGCCCCGCCCCTAGGCAGGAGGCAGACTGTGGCAGATCATGCTCCAGCCTTTCTGAAAATCCCTTTCTTAAGAGACCCGTGATTGTTATGGCTGGGTATCCAAAGTTATCAGGCAGGTAAGTCTGTGATGATTTATTTCACAAATGTGCTTAAGAATCCATTTTTTTTTTAAAAAAACTTGCAATATAGTGGCTAAGCACAGATATTCCACAGTTGGTCTGCCTGAATTTAAATCCCCTGTCCCCCGCCCCCGACCCCTCCGATTAACTATGTGAGCTTGGGAAAATGACTTAGTCTGTTTGTGCCTCATTTTCTTCATATGTAAAATGGGGGTAATAGTAATAGTATGAACCTTATAAGACTCTTGTTAGGATGAAATGACTTATTGACAAAAGCACATGCCATGTTTGGAATATTTTAAAGGTTCCTTATATTAGCTGTTGCTGTTTTAAATAGCACATTCCCTTAATGTGTTCTTACCTGTTGGTGGATTCAGATTATTTATGTGACAGATGGTGAGAGAAAGATAAACTCAAAGTTATGTGGTACTGATATTTATAATATAGAACAGGTACTTATAATACAGATTTCATAAGGCATGATTGAATGCTGTTTACGTACCAGGCCCTTGCCTTTCTCTATTTATACACTTTTTAGGTCAGCCATTGGAGTTGGACTCTATTTTAGAGGAGGAAGTTGAAGTTTAGAGAAGTTAAGGATTGCCCAAGATCACAAAGCTTGCAGATTGCAAAGGCAGAATTCATATGACCCAAGTCTATTTCTTCATTATAGTCAATGAATTAGAAAATAACGAGTCAGCCTAACACACACACACACACACACACACACACACACTTATGACATTTATTTTACGTGGAACCATTTAGGAATATAGACCAGTGGTCAGAAAGTGCGAAACTGTAAGTGGGGCGAGTTCATTTTGCAGTCGTAGGTCTCAGCAGGGTAAAAAGAAACAATCCCCACCACAGCCACCCACATCGCTCTGTCTCTGGATTGCTGCTGCTTGTTCCTCGCTCCAAGGAGCTAACTGATGAGAGAGCCGCGCTAAAGAGAGAGGAGACCCTGCTTTTCACACTCAGAGCCCTTTTTATGAATCACTGGGTTCACCCCAGAGGAACCAGGCAGCTCTTAAAATGTTTGGCTCCGCCTGGCTGGCATAGCTCAGTGGATTGAGCGCAGGCTGCGAACCAAAGTGTCGCAGGTTCGACTCCCAGTCAGGGTACGTGCCTAGGTTGCAGGCCATGACCCCCAGCAACCACACATTGATGCTTCTCTCTCTCTCTCTCTCTTTCTCCCTCCCTTCCCTCTCTAAAAAATAAATAAATAAAATCTTTAAAAAAATGTTTGGCTCCAGCTCACTTATGTCACAAGATTTGCTTTGTCTTCTTGACTTTATGCCCTAAACAGAAAATAGAGTTTGTCTTTCAGGACATTCAACCACAGCAAAATCTTGGTGATCTTGAGGGGAGAGGAGTGAACTATATTGTTCCTTAGTACGAGGGCCACTTAGAACTTTCCCCTCTTATCTTCAGCTGGAAAAACCGGGGTTAGTGTCTTCTAACAACAAAAGGATATTCGCTTGGGCCTCAGAGTGTTCCCTAGAGCAAGTTCCATAAAGAGCTCAAACAGGAAAAAGCAAATGGAGCTGGAAGGCAGTTGGAAGTCACCTAGAGATCATTTTATGATTGTATGTTTTTACAGCTTTATTGCGGTATAATTGACACACAATAAAACCCATTTAATGTGTATAATTTGATAAGTTTTGACACACACACCTGTGAAACCATGACCACAATCAAGGTAGTGAACACACACTTCATGCCCTCAAATTTCCTCCTGCCTCTTGACAATCTCTCCCTCCCTTCTCCATGCCCTGCCCCCCATTTCCAACCAACAAGTGATCTGCTTGTCACTGTAAATGAGTTTTCACTTTGTAGAATTTTATATAAATGGAATTGTACAGTATATACTTGTTTTGGGGGAGAGGTAGTCTGGCTTTTTTCTTTTTTACTCAGCATAATTATTTGGAGATTCATCCATGTTGATGAGCATATCAAAAACTCATTTCTTTTTATTACTATGTAATATTCCATTGTACAACTACACAGCCATTTGTTTACCTGTAAATCTGCTAATGGAAAGACACACTGTGGCCTCTGATGTTAATCTAACCCATGTATTTCACCCTTGGAGAAACAGAGGGCAAAAGGGAGCAAGTCTTCCGAGAGGGACTCGGTCAGAGCGCACAGGGCCTTGGGGAGTGGCGGGGAGGCAGCCCGCCACCCTGGGCAGCTGTGCCAAGAGGCCTGGCCGGTTTTACCAGGGGTGACCGTTCTTTTGACATCTCTGAATCCATACTAATATTAGGAACTGAAAAAAAAGAGATTGTGTAGCATTGTGTCTGTATTTATTCATCTTTACATCTCTCTACATCATTGGTAGACTCCTTTTTGTCATCGACAAAGAGCTACCTTACGTCCTTGGTGTGTGACTCTCAGAGGATAAGGAAAACCCTGTTCCATTCCAGGGCAGTCTTTTCCCGCCCGGATTCTAATCGCATTCTTCCTCTCTCCTCGGGGACCTAGAGCCTTCAGTTACCTCCTCCCTTTCCCAGTTCTTTAGCTGCAGCCTACAGTCTTGTGCGAGTTTCCCCACCCCCACTCCCAATCCCCCCATTGATCCCGTGTAAGCCTGTAGTTCTCATCTGGTTTGCCTCCTTTCTCTTCAAGCAAGGTCCCTTTCTCTTCTTTAAAAAGTCCCTTAAGGTTGCCGTCTTTACTTCCTTACTATCCGTCCCCTTGTTTGCAGTCCCCACCCCTTCCTCTGATGCCCTTGATAGGGCACACCTACCCCTTAATGCTTAAACCTCCCCACCCTTGGCCTCCATGTGTGACCCTGTCCCTCCTGGTTTTCCTCCCACTTGCCCAAGTGTTCCCTGTGTGGTCTCCAGCAGGAGCTCATCCTCACATGCTCCTCAGAACTCTGTCCTTGACCAGCTGCTCTTCTCTCCCTACCATCTCTTTCTGGAAGCTCCCCTGTGCTCTCAATATTCTGATGATGTGGTCGTGGATGTCTCTCCCAAGTGCCTGTCAATAGCCATGAGCTACAGACAGTACCATCTCTTTGGATGTTGTGGATGTTGGAGGGAGAGAAGTCAGTCATGTCTCAACTTGAACTCATAGTTTCTTGTATTTTTAAAACGTAATTCATTTACTTTTAGAGAGAGGGTAAGGGAGGGAGAAGGAGAGGGAGACAGATATCTGTTGGTTGCCTTTCACATGCCCCTAACTGGGGACCTGGCCCACAACCCAGGCATGTGCCCTGGCTGGGAATTGAAGTGGAGACCTTTTGGTTCGAAGGCTGGCGCTCAGTCCACTGTGCCACACCAGCCAGGGCAGAGCTCATAGTTTCTAATAAATGTACTCCTCCCAGTAAAGGGGTCACCGTGCACTCAACCATCCAGGCCAGACACTCAGACTCTACCTTAATCTGCCTCATCATTTAGTTTTTTTGGCTCTAAATTTTTATTTGATCCTGTGCCCTCCTTGCTACCCATGGTTTTAGTTCAGGGCCTTACCAGCTCTTACTTGGATTATTGTAAGAGTCTCCTGGCAGAGATCTCTTATTCCAGCTTGCGCCTCACCCTTACATCAGAGCACCTTCTGTTGTGCATTGTGTTCCGTTGGGTCTTCGTGCACCTTTTCTGCTTTAACATCCAACCATCGGTCCCCTACAGAAAAAAAACAAACCCAAACTTCAAATCTCTTAGCTTGTCATATAAGATGTTTATATGATACAGCTTTTTTGATGTTCTTCTGTTGTTTTTCATGTTGTACTAGACCAACTCTTCCTCATCCTCTAAGATATCCTTTAAGACTCATCCTTTACATCCTTTAAAAATGCTTCTCTGCGTGTTCACAGCAGGTTGTGTATTTTCCTTGCATGGCACTCACTCGAATCTACTGCAATAGTCTGGTTAGATGTCAGTGCTTCTCCCCCGGGAATGTGAGCTCACAGAGGGCATGGGCTTAGTTATTTATCTTGTGTCTCCCACCCCCATCCTGGAGGGTCCAACATAACTCTTAGCACACAATTGGCAGTCAATAAGTGCGTGTTAAATAAAATAATAAACATCACATGACCCTCTAGGATGTAAAAAGTGATTTCAGTTACATTAACTCATTTTATCCTCATAATAATCCATGAGGATAGTTTTACTCTAATCTCGTTTTACAAATGCGATCATGAAAGTTAGAGGGTGAAGTCACTTCTCAAGGTCATAGATCATCTGCTTGTCAACCCTATATATTTTCCCCCTTATATGTGTGAATTTGGAAGATGTCAATGTGTTAGGATGGAGATTTTGTTCAACAGACATTTATTACACACCCACTACCTGGAGCCCCAACCCTGAGTGAGGGAGCACGGAAGGAGAGTGGGGGAGACTGTTAAGTTTCCACGGCAGGGTGTGCCCCCCTTTCCACTGCAGTAGTTCAGACTGGATACTTCTTCTGTTGCTGTTGCTGTTGCTGTTGCTGAGGGGAAGGGCTGTCCTGGGCATTGCAGGATGTTTAGCAGCATCTCTGTCCTCTGTCCCTAGATGCCAGTGGCAACATCGTCCCCCACCCCCCACCACTGTCCTCCCACACACACTCAGTTGTGACAACCAAGTATGTCTCCAGACATTTCTGAGTGTCCCCTGGTGTGTGTGTGTGTGAGAGACACATACACACACACATAGAGTTGCCCCCAGCTGAGAATCACTGTTGTACAGCAAAGTTTAAACGGGGTGGGGGGGTGGGGATTGAGAACGGGACAGCCAGCTTTCCAGGCATCCCACGGTATGACAGATGTTGTATCAGCACAGTTCCGTCTGGGCAGAGGGCGTCGGGGGAGGAGAGAACGGAGGGAGAGGTCATGAGTGTGGCCACACGGGGCCCAGGAGGAGTTCTGGAGGAGGGCGGAAGATAGGGGCTGGCATCCCTGGGCGGGGCCCTGGGGACCCTGTGGGGACAAAACCCACCGGCCAGGGGCTACAGGGGGGTGAAGTGGGGTGGGAGAGGTGGAAACATTTGTGTATATATTTAGAACGCGGATGTCAGCTTATTCTACTGAACTGAATACCAAAGAGGGAAATTACTTGTTCTTCAGAAGATCAGACTTGGGGAGAGGCCAGGCTGTAAATCCTGGGGGGAGGACTTGAACGCCACCGAGAAATCAGGCCTGAAACACCCGTAATGTTTGTCGGCCCGCATTTTAGTGTTCTTAAGTAAGTGTACAGGGTGTGGGGGATGAAATATGGCAGGTATTTGATTTAAAAAGCCTGCACAGATTTAATGTCCTGATAAAATGTATTAAATCTTTTAAGGTTTTAATGAATCTAGTATGTGTTTCATAAATCAAGAACTCTGCTAAGCCGTCTCCTGGTTTAATAAGAGTAAACTAGGAAATTGCTCTGAGCAGAAGCAAAATACATTTATATCACATTGAAAAGTAATAGATTTTTAAGCTGAGGGGGTCTTTCTGGGCCTTTTAAGCTGTTTGCTTATTACATTGCTCCAACTCCTTCAAATATTAAACCCCAGGCAAACACGTGCTTAACCGTATCAAGATGTGAGCTAGCACAAAGGTAAAAGAGATTATTTGTAAGAGCAGAAAACAAAGCCAGTGGTTCCTTACCCTGAGACCTGGGACCGACTGGCTCCATGCGCTGCAACCTGGTTTATGGGTACCCGGGCTCGAGGTGGTTGGTTAAAAATCATTATTGACTTTCTTAGACCTCCTGTCCTAGATTCATTCACTCCTCCTTCCTCACCTCCTCAACGCATTTTCTGGCTCGAAGTGGTAAGTGTGTAAAATACTCCTTGACTTTTACAGCTGGCTGTGGAATGCTTGTTAAGGCTGCTGGTCAGACTGTCCAGAGCGAGCACGCAGAGCCTTCTTCCCCGCGTCCTCGACCCCGGCCTGCAACGTTCCAGCTCCAGCGGGGGCGGGGCCTGGGCGTGGGGGTGACAGATGGGTCTCTCTGGGCAGACTGGGGGTCAGACACCTCTGCCCCTCAGCTCCTTTTGTGCACGGCGCACGGGTTCTGGGTGAGATGGTGGTTCAGGACACTGGGGGAGAGGTGCGCCCGGGGAATGAAGGAGGGGGTGGGGGTGGGGCTGGAACATTCCTGTGCATAAAAGCTGGCAGGGCTTGTGAGCTCTGCAGGGGAGGGAGCCGGCCCCATAAAGCTCAGTGTGGAGAAGCCTGTCCAACCTCATTAGCTGTCACGGGCAACAATACTGATCTGGCAATAAAGGCGATTCCAAACCTGTTGGTCATTAATCACCCGCCTGACAGTTGCGAATGGAAGTGGAAAAACCTCATCCCCCTCTGCCCGTCCCCTCCTCCCCTGGCCCAGCTCTGGGGTTTCGAGTTTCCTCTCCATATATATGGGGATCGCTGCTGGGGGCTGGTCTCTTCCCCCTCGACTTTCCAAGGGGCCGGTTTCAGCCTGGAGAGGCCACAGGTTGGCCGGCACCTGGCAGACCCGATTTCCTGCACAGAGACCAGGGAGTGAAAAGGTGAAAGGAGGTGGCCCGAGAGGTCAGCCCTCACTGTGACCCCCGGGATGGAGGGCTGTGTCTTGGCAAGTTCGTCGTGGACGTGGGGAAGCCTGTGGGCGGCGCTCAGCCCGTCTTTCTGCGCCCTCCCCCTCCTTCCCTGGCGCGGCCTCCTCGCCCTCCTTCAGCCACTAGGTGCCAACACACTTCCCTTTATGTGCCTTTCCCTGCTCTTCCCGCCCGACCTTCCAGCCCCAGTAAGCAGATCTTGCGCTCAGGAAAAGCTTTCATCTCAGTGCTTCACGGCCTGCTCCAAACGGAAGCCCGCGTCCTTTCCCAGAGGCACTTGTCTGTCAGCCTCGTCCCCAGCAGCGGCGGTTGGCTGGTTGGCGGATGAAACTCTGGGTGGTAGTGATCTGCGATGTGTGGAGGCGCAGTTGGTGGATGGGTTGGGAGGAGAGGCCCCGTCCGCCCAGGGGCCCTCGAAGGCAGCTCACAGGAAGCACAGCTGGGTTGCCTGGCCTGACTCTGTGAGTTTCGTACCTGGAGAAGGGAGGGACAGAGGAGGAAAGGTGGTACGCTAGAGAACATCCACGGACCAGACACGGGGAGGCCTCACCAGCTCTTCAAGTTCCTGGCATGCTCTTCAACGCCCCCAAGCCAGGCTACCTTCGGGAGCGAGGAAGTGCGACTTCTGCACAGTTCCAGAGAGTGCGGAGGGAGGAGGGGCGTGAAGAATTAGCCAGGGTTCTCTGAACCGGCAGCCTGAATAGAACTTACATACTTCTTGGCTCTTATGATGGGCAGGCATCAGCGAGAGTAAACAGAATGCTAACAACCTGGGAGGGGGGAGGCATCGCCACCTATGTTTTCAAGTGGTCAAATATAGTCCTCTAGGTCGCCCAAACTTTCCCAAATCCCGTGGGTACAGAGTGACCCTGGCCTCGCCAGGCCCGCGTTTGTTGGTGCTGCCTGTTCTTTCCATGGCAGAGGATAGAAACATCTGTGCACAGCCAATCCACCCAAGCTACTTTGACAAAGGCAAATTCCCACGACAAACTAATAGGAACAGAATGGAAAAAAAAGCACAGGTACAGTTATAGTTTTGGGGGCCTGTTTTCCAATTTCCCTTGTACCCTTTTCCCTATTATTTCTTCTGTCCGCCCCCTCCCCTCCCAATACTATGGTTGTTCTTACCTCCAGGCACACATTAGAATAACCTGGGGAGCTTCTAAAAAGTAGTGATGCCTAGGCCACATTCCTGGTATTCTGATAAAGTTGGTCTGGGCCGCCACATGGAGATACTTCTAAGGGCAACTCACAACATGGCATCTTTGCTTTTGGGGTTTCCTGTGTCTGGCGTGCCCTCCTCTCTTCTCTCTGCCCCTCCCCCAGCCCAGTGGTGCCACCTGTGTCAGGGGTCACTACTGCACAGTGCTTGGCCTTGTTCCAGAGAGAGAAGCAAAGGATGTGGTTTTTAGTTGGGGAAATAATACACACACACACATTTCTATTTAAAGACTAAGTGGTCTAATGCAAAATGTAGGTGCTCTACATCTCAGAGGACATAGAATTCAGTAGGGAAAGCTGTGTGGAGGGAGGGGCCTGGGGCTGAGCACTGATGGGTGGGGTGGGTTTGGGTGAGGGGGTGGGATGGGTAGCGGACTTCAGGCAGAGGGATGGCATGAGCAAATGAGGCTGGAGCGAGCAGGGCACGTGCTGGGGACCAGGAGAAGATCGGCTTGACTGCATAGAAGGCTCAGCCTGGCCCTTTCTCCTCCTTCAGCTTGCATTTGTTTATTTATTTATTTATTGCCATGGTTCCTATGGCATTACCGTGGATCCCACTTGGTCATTGGTGTGTACTGTTCAGTCACCTTCATGGGCGTGTCACTAGTTCTCACCATCAGATCTGTGAGCAACTGGAAGGCAGGGACTATACTTTATATAAGTTGGGACCTGTCACTCACTCCAATCCAAACCGATCTAAATCCGTCCAATGCTATCCAACACATATTTATGGAGTGCCAGCTCCGGGCCAGCTCTAGGTTTTCGAGATTCAACCAAGCGTACGAAGAGACTGGCCCCCCTGCCTAGATTCTAGTTGGGGATACAGACAAGCACACACACTATAAAAATATAGAGATGAGTTTTATAGTATAGTGAAAGGTGGTAAGTACCATGGAAAAAAGAAAAAGAAGAACAGGGTACGGGGGATCAGGAGTGAGTGTTTGTCGGTGAGTGTGTATGTGTGTAGTGTTATTAAATGGAAGGTATTAAATAGAAGGCATTATGCATAGGGCGGTTAAGTTGAAGGTCAGACTAGGTGTTATTGAGAAAGTGAGGGTCGACCAAAGACATGAAGAAAAGGAGAGATTTTCCCAAGCGGCTATCTGGGAGAAAAGTTCCCCGGCCAGCAGGGACAGCTAGAGCCAAGCCTGAAGGTTGCAGCACATGGAGCACGCAGCACACCGAGCATGCAGCACACCGAGCATGCAGCACACCGAGCATGCAGTACACCGAGCATGCAGCACATGGCTGAGGAATGATGACCAGGAGGCTGTGGGGTGGGAGCCGAGCGACTGGAAGAGACTGGAGGGAGAAGACCCAGGAGCTGGATCATGTAGGGTCTCAGGAGTCCCCGTGGACTTTGGCTTCTACACAGTAGGACAGGAGCCCTTGCAGGGTTTCAACAGATGAGTGACAGGATCTGACTTATTTTTAAAAAAGCACTCTTGGGCTGCGGTGTTGGGGATAGTCCATGGGGGTTGGGGGTGGGGTGTAGGGCCAGAGCAGAAGCAAGGAGGTCTCTGGTGAGGTTGGTTTGACAGACACAGCCCACGTTGTGCAAGTCTGCGAGAGAAGGCCTCTCCCGTGTGCCCGCAGAAGGCCGCACGCTGCTCCTACGTGGTTGCGAAGAAGAGCATTGTTGCGAGGGGCACACTATTTAGATTTTTGACCTGATTAAATGAGCCTGGCCAACCAGCTTACTCACTAGGCTTGTCTTCAAGAGACATTTCTCACCTAAGTGACACACACAGTTTGTCATTGTCAGTAAAGAACGTGACAGGCTTTGAAGATGGTTTTCCATGAGTTCCGAAGAGTTCAGAGCAAGGTAAGGCCGTAGAGTAGCGTACATCGTCTTCAATGGGGCGATATTGATCTTGACATCTAAGTCCTACCATGTTTGTTTAAAAATCCCATTTATTATATTTCTTCTGGATCCCCCAGCTACTGAGCAGAGTACAGCACACCCCGCCAGTTCTTGGGGGATGGAGTTGGCCTGGTGTGTGCTAATTTGCAAGGCAGTGTTAAAAATTCCATTTACATTTCCAAATCCAACTAAGTTTAAGGGGGCGGACTATTTTTTTTTTTTTTTTACTCAAGAGAAGTAAGACATGCATATTGAAAAGAGGTTCTTGACCTTCCTCCCTTAGGAAGCCAAGGTGCCCACTTTCCTGTTAAGTGTCTTATAGGTTCGTGTAGGCGAATGGGCAGCCAGGCGGGTCATCCGTCTGTCACCAGGAAAGCAGCACTGCTGAGTGGCTTCTGTGAGCATTGGTCACTGAGAGAGGGTACAACAGAAATAGAAACTGCTGTCTTTGCCCTTGAGTTGCCCCCAATCCGTTGAGGAAAATGTGAACCGTGAAAACTGTGGGACCCTTACAAAGACTCCAGCCTGGTGGGCTATGTTCCGGGAAGGGGGACTCCTCATTACCATACGTTTGTGTATCATTTTAAATTTCTCCGTGTACTATCACCATTATTTCATTTTGTTTGATCTTCACAATAGTTCTGCGAGATAAAATCACAGTCTGTCACAGCTGAAAAGGACCATAACGATCATCCACTTTACCCAATGCCCTCATCTGTAAGGAGGACATCGGGGGGTGGGGGGGGTGAAGTGCTTTGCCCGGGGTCACCTGGGAAGCAGAAGTGAGGGAACTGGAACCCGGGCTCTAGTCCAAGCTGTTTCTTACATTTTCAGAGCAAGGCTATAGGGTCAAGGTCATAGGAGCATTTAGTGAAGCTGGGGAGGGAGGGTCTTAATTTGGCAGGGGGAGGAAGAAGAGGCAACTAGCAGGGAGAGCCCTTAACTGTTGTTTCAAAAAGGGGCCAAGGCAGGGAAGATGCGGTGGCGCACAGGAAGGGTTTAGAAGGTTGGGTCACAGAAGGGGCACCCGTAGGCCCAGAGTCTCAAGAGGAAACATTAGCTTTTAATCCTTATTTTCTGGGGCGGACCCTCCCACAGCCAGGGTGGCTGGGGCAGGGCATTCAGGGGGGTCAGGAATGCCTAGC